CATTGATATTTAATTTCAAGGTACTCAACCTAGAAATCAAGTATCATTTCATTACTGTCTGCAACTCCCAGCAAGTACTAGTGTGCTGGGATGTTTTTATCTCTTGAATTTCCTGGGAGTACATACCAGGTCTTCTTTCTCTCTCCTTTTTCTTAAATACCAGGGATTGAACCCAGAGGTGCTTACCCACTGAGCCACATTCCCAGCCTTTTTTTATATTTTATTTAGAGACAGGGTCTCATGGAGTTGCTTAGGGCCTTGCTAAGTTTCTGAGGCTGGCTTCGAACTTGTGATCCTCCTGCCTCAGCCTCCCAAGCCTCTGGGATTATAGGTGTGTGCCACCGTACTGGGCCGGACTTTCTTATTTCTGAATCAGTGCTCACAGTGCGGTGTCTAAGAGGGTGAGACTCCTGGGTCCTTACCCACCATTGTTGTTTATTGATAGTGTGACCTTGAATCTATTCCTTAACCTTCTTCTGCCTGTTCTTACATTCATAAAATAGGGATAATAATAGCCTCTCCCTCACTGGGTTGCTTTGCAGATGAAGATAATCCATACAAGTGTTTAGCACAATGGAAGGTAATGAAATGCTCAATCAGTAAAATTATTATTACATATTCTTCAGTGCCTAATGTAATAATTGGCACACAAAAATTGATCAAGAAAAAAGGTTTAAATGAGAATATAAACTGGGTGTGGTGGCACATGCCTGTAATTCCAAGGATTCAGGAGACTGAAGACAGGAGCGTCACATGTTTGAGGCTAGCCTGGGCAACTTAGTAAGACCCTATCTCAAAATAAAAAACGAAAAAGGAAGGCTGGGATTGTGGCTCAGTGGTAGAGCACTTGTTTGGCACGTGCGAGGCCCTGGGTTTGATCCTCAGCACACATAAAAATAAAATAAAGATATTGAGTCCAAATGCAATTAAAAAATAAATATTTTTAAAAAAAAAGGACTGAGGAGATGCAGCACCTGATTCAATTCCCTGTACCAAAAAAACAAACACAAAAAAACAGAATGTGGGACAAATTCCCTGGTCCCCTCACCTACTCCTCCTTCAGCAGTATGTTGATCTGCATTTGCAAATGTGAGGTCCATGTTAATTCTCTGCATACACTAAGGGGTGCACTCCCTGAGGCCGGGGATGGCGCTGACCATTTCTGGGCCCTCCTTCCGGGGGCAGCTGTTGATGGCGGCTGCTTTTCTACACTGATTAATTCAACGTTGCACAGCTGTCGACTGACCCTAAAGAGTCGTGACACCTCTGCTCCAGGCAGAACTGTTCTACTTCCTCCACACGCTGCATTTTAGGGACCAATTCTAAGATGATGTCCAAGCTTCCCCAGATCACTCAGCTAATTCTGAGACTGTGTTGCTCCTGTCGATTCAAAATAGAAATATTCTCTCAGCAACCTCCTAAGGTGTGGTGTTACCTCATAGATGGGGAATAGCCATGGGGACGGTCCTGACCTCATCTCAACGTCACCAAACTACAACCAAGTAGAACCAGCTGTCAAGAATCTTCAGCCAATCTGAATGTTCCAAAAGGGAAAATGTCCTATAAACCTAATTAATCTAACACATTTTTAAAATTAGTTGTTGGTGGACCTTTATTTATTTTTATGTGGTGCGAGAATTGAACCTAATGCCTCACATGTGCTAGGCAAGTGCTCTGCCACTGAGCCCCAGCCCCAGCCCCTAACCTAACACGTTCAACTTCCCGTCTTCCAGAGCTGTTGTCTAATAAGAGCTGCACTGATAACGACACGGGGTGTGCGGCACACTTGGTGTACAGCACACTTGGTGTACGGCACACTCGGTGGACGCGAGCTGGCGTCATGACTGTGCCTGTGTGTGTCACGGTGACCACTCAAGCAGTAGTTACTTCTGACCACTTCTCCCCTGCTGACTCGGCTCTCGACTGTATTCCCTGAAACCTGGTAGCTCAAGTGCAGAGTCCACCTTGACCCCTTTCTCCTCTTTTCTCATGTCTTACATTTCAATGGTTCCAGGAGAGCCTGAATTTTCCATCTCTCTCCCTGCTGCCCTGTCCAGGTCAGTGGCTGCTCTCTTGCCAGGGCTGGAGCACTCCCTGCCTCCATTCTTACCTTCCTCAAATGCCCTTCAAATGGCCTTCCCAGCGGGCTTTCTGAAGTGCAGATGTGATAACGCCACTCCTCTGGGTACAGACCCTATCCTGTACTACTGGCCTTATTACACACTACAGCATCAAGCCCAGCTCCCCTGGCCTGGAGTCCAGGCTCCTTCCTGCTTGGCTCCTCGCTGCTCTTCCTGCTTCCTCCTCTTCCACCCATGCAGCCTCGACTGGCCGCGATGCTGCAGCTGGTCTGTGGGTGCTCCTGTTTCTCTGCTGCCCTGCTCCTGCGGCTGGATGCCAGTCCTCACTATTCTGCCCAGCCAGCTTCCAGCCCTCTTCAAGGCTCAGTCAGTTCAACACAAGTCAAAAGCCGTGCTCTGCAGTTAATGAGCTTGAAGATAGTGGAGTATTCACCTAAGAGTTTTCAAAAGGGGTTTGTAAAACAGACACTTAAAAAATTTTTACTCTGGGGGCTGGGGTTGTGGCTCAGTGGTAGAGCGCTCACTTAGCATATGTGAGGCCCTGGGTTCGATCCTCAGCACCATATATAAATAAGTAAATAAAATAAAGGTATTGTGTCAACTACAACAAAAAAATATTTTTAAAAATTTGTTTTACTCTGGTACAAGGCATAATGGTGCATGCCTGTAATCCCAGTGACTTGGGAGGCTGAGGCAGGAGGATCCGAAGTTTGAGACCAGCCTCAGCAACTCAATGAGAGCCTGTCTTAAAATACAAAGGACTGGGGATGTGGATAAGTGGTGGATAAGTGGACTCAGTCCCCAGTACCACCCCTGCCCACCTCCAACCCCCAAATTTACTTTGGTAAACCATAAAACCCAGTTAATCAGAAATTCCCTAAGTTTCATTTATTAGGTGCTTAATATCTATTAGGCACTTGGCATAAGTTTTTCTCATTTAATCTTCATAATGATATGGCTGGTTTGACATTATTGCTCCTGCTTTAGGGGTGAAGAAACCTGGGTTAGATAATATTTCAAAAGGATATAAAGACAGTAAATGACAAGTTGACATGTGAACACTGGTCCACCTGATCTCTAAGCCCATAGCCATGACCACTGTGCTGTGCTGCCTCACACCACCTATGTCTGTCTGGCATGTTTAAAATGCAGTTTGGGCCCTGATTTGATTTTGGTCCAAACCATGCAGTGGCTTAGTGTTTATGCTCTAGGACAACATCAGCTCCTGGATTGGTTTTCAGTACACCACTGAGCATGGCATAAGACATATCTATGCCTTGTGATGAAGGAGCTATTTGATTCTGTGACTTCCACCTGATTCATTCACAGTTGGCCACACTAAGCATCCACTGACAGCCCACCACACGCCAGACCCTGCTACACTCTGCCCCTCAGCTTCTTCCAAGGGCAGCTTCAGTCAGTCTCAGGAAAGCACCCCACCAAATCTGAGTACCCAAGTGCTTCTGGACAACAGGTTCAATATCTATTGTAAAATAAATGAACCAATGATTTTCAGCAGTCTGCTTTTGCCAGAGAAATCCAGGCCCCTCAGCCCCTAGGGCTGAGTTTGTTCCCTTTTAGGTACTGAGGAACTGGTCTGCTAATGCCTATAAAACACAGCATACACATACTTAATTCAGTAATTCCAACTTTTAGGAGTTACTAAAAGAATCACCGTCTTGAATCACTACTATCTTCCTGGCACTAAGAAGTAAATATGGGTGAAAGAGAGGTTAACGTGTACCCTACAGCTATTGCAGACTGCTATGGGCTGAATGTGGGTTCTCCCCAAATCCTTATGTTGAAGCCCTCATCCCATTTATGATGCTATCTGGACAGGGGCCAGAGGAAGAAAATTAGGTCATGAAGGGAGACATCTTCATGATGGGATTATTGGCCTTATAAGAAGAGATATGAGATACAGCAAGATGGCTGCCCACAAGCCAGGAAAAGAGTTTTCACAAGAACCCAACCAAGCTGGCCCCTTACCTTGGACTTACAGCCTCCAGAACTGTGAGAAAGAAACCTACTGTTTAAGCCACCTAGCCTGTGGTGTTTTATTGTGGAAGCCTGAGCTAAGAGTGAAACTTTTAGAAGAAATTCAGTGAAACTGTGCCCATTAAGATGAGCTCTAATCCGAAATGATGTGTCCTTACAAGAGGTAAAGATACAAAAAAAGATGCTCAGAGAGATGACCATGCGGCCCCACAGTGAGAAGCTGGCCATCTGCCAGCCGAGAAGAGGTCTCAGAAGAAACCAAATCTATTGACACTGGGATCGCAGACTTCTAGCCTTCATAACTATGAGAAAATAAACCTCTTCTTTAAGCCACCCAGGCTGTGGCATTTTGTTAAGGCAGCCCTAGAAAACTCATGCACAGTGAAATGACAAGTACCGTAGCATCTGCAGTACCCACTGGCATTAAAATTGATGCTTGAAAATAGGTGTGGTTGAACATACCTGTAATCCCAGTGACTCAGGAGGTTGAGGCAGGAGGATCACAAGTTTGAGGCCAGCCTTGGCAATTTAGTAAGACTGTTTCTCAAAATAAAAATAAAAAGGGCAGGGTGTGTGTGTGTGGCTCAGTGGTAAAGTACCCCTGGGCTCAATGCCCAGTACCAAAATAAAACAAACCCCAATACTGGAGGCTGCTTTAATCAACCATAATTAATTTGTTAGTTTCTTCATGTGTTAGGTAGGCATCTAATGTATCTATAAAGCTTCCAATCAGTAATGCAAAATCAAAGCAGCTTACACATCTACCCGCTGCAAAAATGCACCCTTGGAAAGCACTGATCACCATGAACCTGTGCTGAGAGATCACGTTCATTGCTCCCTTCCCCCAGAGACCCATAAAATCCAAGAATGATAAAAGTCACCTGGTGAATAAGTCTCCCCCAATGGAGAGAATTCTCTTACCCAATCCTTCCAGTTCTTGGACTACTTCTTTCCAAACAGGCTCGATATGGATACAACTGAAGCACCAATCTGAGGTGATCTTAATGAGGTAGGGTTTCTTGAAGCTGTCTGGAACTACTTCGTTCACATAGTGGGAAAAGTGCAATAAATACTTCTCATCGATGGAGTCCCGCCGCTCAGAATTGAAAGGAAAGTGAAAGAAGGATTCATCAAAATAAAAATTCTCATGGAAATGGCGGAAGCGATATTCTCGCTGCTGCTGCTTCTGGTAGTCCTGGCTCTCCCCAGCATCGCCGTAGTGGTCATAGTGGGATCGCTTTTCTTCATTGGAAAGAATCTATAAAGAAAGAAAGAAAGAAAGATGAGAAATCTAATCCACAAAAAGGTTAAACCAAAGGACTTTTCTTAAGCAGTTTGAGAAGCAGGAAGAATATAAATGTAGAGAATAAGACATGATTAGACACTCTAAACACACAGTCTCAACATATGAGAAACTTCTCTCAAGAGAAACGGGGCAGGGTGGGGTATGGTGGAATGAGATGGACATCATCACCCCTAGGTATGGGTAATAATGGTGTGACTCTACATCATGTACAACCAGGGAAATAAAAGTTGTGCTCCGTTTATGTAAAAAAATAAAATTAATTAGAGAGAGAGAGAGAGAGAGAGAGAGAAAGAAAGAAACAGTGAAGAAAACTCAAGACCAACGTGTTTCAGGTGTTCAGATACTCATGCCTGTGTCGGCATTAAAGACTTTGATCTAGGCAGTGAGCCCTTCAGTAAAACAGATCAAACTTAACATAGCATTGACCCCTAGGGTTCAGTCACAGGAAAACTAACTTGGTCATACTTTAGAGGTTGGAAAGTTCAGATCAAGGTAGGGAAAGCTGTGACTCCCAAAGAGTAGTCACAGAATTGAGTCCAGGGCCTGTGGGTTGGTTAACTTTGTTTTATCTAAAAATGCCTTTGACATCTAGCATTCGAGAATCTGTTCAGGAAGATGAGTCAGGCTGAGACAGGTGGGCTCTTAGGGATGGAGCAAGAGAACCTTACTAGATGGAGACCCGGATCTATGAGCATGACCAGCCATGCTTGTCACTTTAGTTAGGTGAAGAAAACCTCTAGGGCACATTTGTACCAGATCAACCAGAACAAAAACATAATCGATATAAATGTCACCAGATCCACAGACCTACACAATGTGCCCACAACTGATTATGGCTGGACTGCTTACACATGAAACACCCTGAACCCTGGATATCAAATGACTGACACAGAATTTGATTTTTACAAAAGTATGCCTGGGAACCCGCACTTCTCTTCCCAGGAAAATCCTCCACATAGAGGGCTCATTCCTCGCCCTGCCCCTGCTTCGCTGCCCTTTGACCAACCTTTGCCTGTGCCCTCCTTCCCACACACCCTCAAATTCCTGTTTTCTGGGCTATAAGTTAAGAGTCCATCTGGGAGTTGGAGAATATCATGCTAAGCAAAGTAAGCCAATCCCCCCAAACCAAAGGCCGAATGTTCATTCTGATAAGTGGATGCTGATCCTTAATGTGGAGGAGGGAGGCAGGGAAAACGGAGGAACTTTGATTGGGCAAAGGGGAGGGAAGGTAGGGAGGGTGCGGGGGCAGGAAAGATGGTGGAATGAGACAGACATCGTTACCTAAGGAACATGTGAGATGCTACATTGTGTACAATCATAGAAATGTAAAGTTGTGCTGTAATTGTGTATAATGAATCAAAATGCAACTGTTGTCATATATACCTAGTCAAAAACCAAAAAAACAAAAAACAAAACTCCTTGAAAGCAGGGAGTGTTTCATTTGTCACTGTATCCCACACTGAATAACAACCTTAACATGGATGAGGTCTCAGTAGATCCGATTAAATGAATTAATGCCTATCCACTGAATTCATGACGCACATTTCTATTTATGTTGCTCCATAATGTCAAACATCTCACTTCACTTTCAATATCTGGATAGATAATAAATATGTCCATTCAAAAAAAAAGGTCGGGCTGGGTTTGTAGCTCAGGGGTAGAGAGCTTGCCTTGCATGTGTGAGGCGCTGGGTTCGATCCTCAGCACCACATAAAAATAAATAAATAAAATAAAGATATTGTGTTCATCTAAAAACTATAAAAATTTTTAAAAAACACACTAAAAAACCCCAAAAAACAAAACAAACAAACAAACAAAAAGTCTATCTGGGCCAAGTCAAAGTTACATTCTCTCAGAAGGGACCTCCTTGGAACCATGTCTGGTAACAAACCTAGGGGCTCAGTTGTATTTGCTGAAGAGCATCCTCTTCATTGGGAAGCCAGGGAATTCTCTGTTAAGCTCATCCCAGACCAAGCTACTCGAGCTGCTGTGCTGGAAGATTAATGAAAACCTTGTGTTTAAAGGTATCTGGGCACTGTGTCACTGTAATAAACATAGGCACAATGGTGGCGATTCTTTTTGTTGGTACTGGGGATTTAACCCAGGGACACTTAACCACTGAGCCGTACTCCCAGCCCCCTCCCCCCTTTTTCTATTTCAGACAGGGTTTTGTTAAGTTGCTCAGGGCCTTGCTAAGTGGCTGAGGCTGGCATGAACTTGTGATCCTCCTACCTCCCAAGCCAACGGGATTATAGGCGTGTGCCACCACACCTAGTGGGTGTATGATTCTTTAAGGTAAGTTTCTACAAAGGTAATAAAGACACGTTCTGGGTAATTTTACAATTCTAATTAAACCTTTAAAATAGGCAGGACTTGGGCTGGGGCTCAGTGGCAGAGCACTTGCCTATCATGTCTGAGGTATTGCATTTAATTCTAGCACCACATAAAAATGAACAAATAAAACAAAGGCATGCTGTTCATACACAACTATCAAAAATTAAAAAAAAAAAAATGCAGTACTTAGCAGGGCTCGGTGGTCAAGATGGTGCAGGCAATCCCAGCGGCTCGGGATGATCAAAGCCAGCCTCAGCAACTGCGAGGCGCTAAGCAACTCAGTGAGACCCTGTCTCTAAATAAAATACAAAATAGGGATGGGGATGTGGCTCAGTGGTTGAGTGTCCCTGAGTTTAATTCCTGGTACCCCACCCCCCAAAAAAGGCAGGACTTGGGGTTGGGGCTGTAGATCATGCACAAGGCACTAGGTTCGATCCTCCTCAGCAACGCACAAAAATACATAAACGAAATACAGGTATTGTGTCCCTCTAAAGCTAAAAAACATTAAAAAAAAAAATAAAATAGGCTGGACTTTTTAAGAGCTGATATTCAGGCACATGATTCAACATAGTGGATGTGGCAAGTAGGTTTTCTCCACCATTTTTCAGAAACAGGGTCGGAGCATGTTTTTCAGAAAGGACATTCTAGAACTGACCACCCAAGTCAAAGAGCTTGTGGGTGCACCACAGGTTGACACAGTACCTCATAAGCCTTGCTGATCTGAATGAACTTGTCTTCTGCTCCAGGGTCTTTGTTTTTGTCGGGATGCCTGAAACACAGACAGGCAGCCAGTGAGACAGGGTTTCATTCTTTACCCACAATTACTTAACATCCTTACATACACAGTTCACCACATCAGAGGCAAATGGAAGACATTTTGTTAGGACAGTTTCCTAAAATAAATGGTAGAAGCAATCATTTGCTTCACATGGCTATAATAAATGAAATTTTGAAATAGGCAATTTCCTCCCAGCTGGGCAAATTTTCAAAGTGCCAGATAGCATGGCACTTCGCTGAGATGGGGGACATGTGCCTGTCTTTGCTCTGCTCCCCAACGCTGCTCAAGTGGGTTCAGGCTAAATCACTTATCCTTAAAGAACAGGTGTTTTCTCTCAGGACAGCAGTGTTCCCTCATGTTAGCTTGATACTGATGCAGGTGTGTCTTGTGACAGCGCAGTCAAGCCTAAGAAACGGCTTTAAGGTTCTGCGATGAAAGTAATGCAGGTTTCCAGTAGCATCTTGCTGCTAACTTTCAAATTAGAACACTTTAGTGTTCATCAGTACTCTGGTCGTCCATTCTGCCTTCTACCTATGAAAGGATAATGACTTTCCAAGGTCACGTGTTTAAGCTGTGAAAACGTCTATCATTCATGCAAGGTTACTTCAACTGATATGAACAAAATCTTCAACATTTGCTGTTATTTACAGCTGGTAATGAACTGTCTCATCTTCTTAAAGTCATGCAAATAGTATGGCATGGCTGACCCTTTTGTGCTTACACTAATTCCAGCTTTGGGGCTTTTAAAGCCCTGGGAAGTTGGGGCTAAGTTTACTTCCATGCAACCCACTAAGATCTAAATCTGTGTTTTGTATAGATTAATTTTTCAATGTCCGTTTTATTAAGACACCCTGTATAACAAGAGTTTTATTCTTTATGAAACTTTGTTTGCTAACCTCTACTAAATCTCCCCTAGCAAAGGTTCTGGAAAGGAAAATAATTCACAGGAAAGCAAATGACTAAAACACATCACGTGTTTTGGAAAAATATTTTTTTAAAAAACTACAATTTGACAAACTTATTCTAGCCAGAATATGCTTGAATTAATTACACTACATATTCTGGTCTCTCTAAAAACAAGGAAACTTCAAAATGGTTGACTCTTGAATGAGGACATCATGCCTCCTTCACTATTTAACCTTTGTTATGGATGTTAGTCAGGGAAAAAAATCCTGGCTAGGCATAACGAAAAGAGCATGACTTAAGGAAGTGAGAGGTGACTCCACAGAAGGGTTCTGAATGACAAACAAACAAAAAAACACAGTGTTTCCAATTTCAAATTCAGGCTAAAGGCTGAGTAGATAAGATTATGCAGTCATACAAATGATTTAACAAAAAGAATTTGGGGGAGAAGGGTAGAAAGGGATTTTTTGGGAGACGGAAGCAGAATCTCAAGGATGGCTGGCTTAGGGAACATGGATCCTGCGACAAGGTGGCCAAGGCTTAAGAACCAGGGAGAGCACAAGACAGTGTCAGCTTAGAAAGAGCATTTTCCTAAATGTGGGAAGATACCGCAAAGTTGAAAACACTTAAAAAGGATAAGGTGAGCCTTAAGAAAGTATCTTCAATGCTGTTTTCAATGAATATGAAATTATCTCATGAGCTGTTAACGATAGGCAACCTTTAAATTCCAGTGAAGAGAACAGTGTGCACGGTACCTCCTGGCTATCGAGGAGGTACCTTTGCCTTAAACACTAAAGGAATAAAAACAAAGACAGAAAAATACAGCAGAGAACAAGACGAAATCATTTAATCATGCAGTTGCCTGAGCCATGCCATACCAATTTGTTTTTCTTGGGGTAGAAGGACCCTTTTATTTTGCTAATATGGATGACAAATGAAAAGTACCTAGGAGAAAACTTAATTATTGGGAAAGAAACATAATTTTCTCTGAGAGGAAAAAGGTAATTTCAAGTGGTTTCACCAAACAAGGGAAGATTCTTGTGAAGTCTAAGAAATGGTTAGTAAAACACTTAGTAAAATAAGATCTAACAACCACTTCTCCCTTCTACAAGGGAAACACAGCTTTTTTCAGTGTATATGAAACCATTGTGAAGTGAAATGGAAACTGTTCCAAGTGATAAAATGCTGCCATGACCAAAGCTGCAGAAAATAACAGTATAGTAAAGACACAAAAGTAAAATAAAATTTTAGATTTTCACTAGATGACACTATATATTTGTATGGTGATGAATTACTCCTAGAGAGAATCTAATTAAAGAAGAGAAGCATATGACTCATTTAATTAATATCATAACACCCCTTTCAGCTCTGGAAGACAGAAAAGTCAAAGCAGTACAATTTAATAGGTCCCATGTCCCCAAGCTATCTTTTCTGCTCTGAAACTACTATGCGAGGCTATGCCCTGTCCAAGTGTGTACTTATGGATTAACTGCAGATTTGTATACTTTGCCTTAAACCGAAGCAAGAGTTTGAAATGTTATTGAGAGCAATATATGTGTATATATATGTGTGTGTGTGCACGCACACATGTACACACACACACACACACACACATGTATTGGTACTGGGGATTGAGCTCAGAGATACTTTACCACCGAGCCATATCTCCAGCCTTTTAATTTTTTGAGACAGGGTCTCACTAAATTGCTTAGGGCCTTGCTAAATTGCCGAGGCTGGCCCTGAACCTGTGATCCTGTCTCAGACTCCCAAGCTGCTGGGGTTATAGGTGTGTGCCACTGCATCTGGCCCAAAATCTTATATTTTAAACTCTCTTTTACCTTTATTGCAACCAGGCCAATTCTAAGATACATCTGCTTACTGAAGAAGAATGGTGCCAGGCAGAGTCACATGCCATCACCCCCACGTGGCAGCTCTGCTCCTGCCCAAGTCCCTCCTCCCCTTCAGATCCTTCCCCTACAAACACTAACCCACTCACCCATACTTTAAATGATTAAAAGCAAAAAAAACTGCAAAAAGACCCCTCTCCCCAAAAAAATACTAATGGCGCAGAGATCAAACCATGGAACTGAGAGGTAATGTACCTTTACCAACCCAAGCCTTGATTTTCTCATCTGTACAGCAGGGCAAATGATATCTTCTTTCATGGGTTAATGATAAGATTTCTTTTTAAAAAAATATTTTATTTATTTATTTTTATGTGGTGCTAAGGATCGAACCCAGTGCCTCATACGTGCAAGGTAAGCATTCTACCACTAAGCTACAACCCCAACCCCAATTATAAGATTTCAATGAAATAAGATGCATAAAACTGAAGGCTAGTATACAGTAGGTGCTCAATGACAGCACCTATTACAAACTTTTCTTCACTGCTGATGGTTGGTTCAACCTGTGTCCTTTCTAACCTTTTTTCTGCTGCTCCCTGATAGCTACATAACCAACAATTCTTCTGTCATAGCCAAACCTTTGGTGGGAGAAACCAATGATGTCTATCCAAAATAAGTTTTAGATTTACTGTTATTCTGCCAACAAAAGAAAACAATTATTTTACTAAAAATTTTTTCTTAACAGTTATATACTCAGTTCCTGAATATTATTTTTTGAAATGAAGGCAAAAAGCTCTTGAAACTTTCTCTATTTTTGTACTGGGAACTGAACCCATGGGTCATTTATCAGCTACAAGCCCAGCCCTTTTTTTTATTTTGAGACAGGGTCTGGCTAAGTTGATGAGGGGCCTTGCCAAGTTGCTGAGGCTGGCCTTGAACTTGTAATCCTCCTGCTTCAGCCTCCTGAGTCACTGGGATTACAGGTGTGCCCCACTGTGCCTGGCTCTAAACTGTTTATTAAAGCTGAAAAATTAATAACTTAGGGCTGGGGAGGTAGGTCAGTGGTACAGCACTTTCTTAGCATGTGTGAGGGGTCCTGGGTTGAATCCCTAGCACTTTAATTTTTTTAAGTGAACATGATATTTGTGTTCCCCTTAGCAATTATACTAATAAAGAATTGATTTATGAATAACATATCATGGGAAGGTTAGCTTACCCATTGTTGACTGCATTTTTTTTTTAAATCAAAGTTTCTTCTTACTTTAGTTTAACACTAAATATGCTAACAGTACTAAGGGAAGAATTTAAGCCAAGCCAAAGTATTCCTAAAAGGGAATTCATAGTAAATATAATCTTGAATCTTACCACTAAAAATTATAGTACATAAACATTAGTTCTATGTAAATATTCTAGACAAATATGTATATGTATATGTGTATATATATATATATATACATATATATATATATGTATATATATATATGTATATATATATATATTATTTTTTGAACATAGAAACAGAGACAGATATAAGCCAATCATGAATGAGGCTTCATTCCTTTGCTGAGACTTCTTAGCTTATATTAAACTTCCATTTCTTTGTTTCACCTACCATTCCCGGGCGAGCTTCTTATAAGCCTTTTTAATATCAGCCTGACTGGCTGTTCGGCTGACCCCTAGGACTCTGTATGGGTCAAAATCCAACGCAGACAGAATTTGCAGGATCAGAACCAGAACTATCAAGAACTGCCAGGAAATGCTCAATTTTTTCACTTCCATTTCTCTTCCTTTCCAGAGCTGAAATGATTGAAGAGGCAGTAAGTTTTAGTGGTAGAAACCTGGACAGTCTTGCTTTTCAGGTAAAGGTATAAGATATATAGATGAAAAACAAAATAAACAAAACCTGTTTTGCGGGAAATATGTCAAGCTGTTTGACTATATCTTTTAAAATCAACAATCTCACTACCACTCTTGAATATCACAATTAAGAACGATTATAGATGAAAAGATAACAGCAACTCTCTAGATCCTTGGATTAGAAAAGCTTTAAAAATGACTGAAAATGAGATGAAGAAATAAGCGAGTGTGAAAACATTAGTAAGATAATCAGGGTAACTATACCTCAAATACATTATTTCATCTCCCCTGACAGAAAACTTAAAATATGTGGTTTAAGATGACTTCACTGAATATGTTAAATAAACTCATGAAGTCACAAGATTTACCATGTGCTGAACTATAGAGTGAAATCACTATGCTGTTCTTGGGCTTTCAGTAAGTACAAATATAAAAGTGAAATACTCTAGGCAAGTCTCAGTATGCCTCAATTTTATGTTTTTCTCATCATGTCCCTTCGAACTAGGAAAAAAAAATCAAACTGCTTTTTAATTTAATCATCACCAATATGGTCATTACAAATGAAAACTTCAGATGAGAAAAAGCAGCTGCTATTTAGTTTTCTACATAAAGGAGAAATAATGGCAAAGAGTGAAGAATAGGCCTGGGTCTTAAAATATCTTTCGCTCTATCTCTGGTGAGTGTAGTGATTGAATTCATTGTAGATTTTGGAAATATTCCTGGCGGTTTCTTGAGCATGTTAGGGCTAGTATCACAGACATTCACATCCCAAGATTATGATCTGTGTTTACAATGCTTTTTCCATGGGTCACATGTGTCTTGACATCTCATAAGCTACTATGTGTTAAGGTTCAAGTGTGTAATGTAATGCTTTACTCAAAAGGGGCAAAGTTTAACAGCAGTGGATTTTTGATAAGTGGAAGACTAATGCTGCCTGGGAGTCCCCACAAAATTGATTAATCTGATGACCAATGCTCAGAATTGCATGCAAGCCGAATCAAATCCTAAAGCAGTTTCTTCCTAAAGACAACCTCTTATGTCCTAAAGCAAAAACAAACAAACAAAAAAGCAAAGGCGAGGTGGTTACTGGTTAAGCACATGGGGCTTGGGAACCAGACTCTACCGTCCTCCGCCACTCTGTGACCTAGGGCCACTCTGTGACCTAGGACGACTTACTTAAACTTACTAAGCCTCAGTGTCCTTATTCTTAAAACAGGAATGAATATCACCACCTGGAAGGATCGTCACGGGGGGTTAAACGTATGTAAAAGACGAAGTAGAGCCGACAGTGAGGGGTGGCATTAGCACTAGTTCTGCCACGCAGGGCTGCGCTGCCTGATTCAACTGTGTCAGTCCAGTCCCTTCAGTTAGAGGTGCGGGGCGGGGGCTGTGAAGTTCTCTGCTGACAGTCTCGAGCTCCACGGTGCGGGCCTCAGGGCAGGAAACCACCTGCCCAACAGGTAGGATGCCCGCCCTCGGGGCAACATCCCCCGACCAGGCGGCGGCTCCCGGGGACACGCTCTAGGTCTCAGCCGGGCCTCGAGCCACAGGTCGCAACCTTCCAGGAGGCGGCCCCCTCCCCCGCCGCCCCCGAGAGCCCTGGGCTGGGCCCTGTCGGCTCTCGGTTCCCCCCGGGCCCAGTGGGGACCGGAACGAGAAGGAACTGACGGGAAATCCCTGAGCCTGCCCGGCCCCGCCGCGTCCGCGGCTCCGCGCGTCACGCCGGGAAGGAGTTACCGGGAAAGGGCACCGGCCCAACCGGCTGCAGCGTCCGCACTCCAGCTAGTCCGCCGGGCCGGGAGCTTCCCGTCCACACCAGCGCTCACCCCGGCCTGGGGAGGGGAAAGAGGCGGGGACCCGGCAGAGGGAAGGCACGTGATACTTAAAGGGCCCGTGCACCAAAGCCAGAGACTGACCTGAGTTAGATATGCTATTTTGCGAATATATTTTGACCCTTTCTACCCGCCGTGGTCGCATGGACCTGGCGCGGTTGCTATAGAAACGAGGCGCACTCTTTGGCTGGATCCGAAGGGTTGATCGTGACCAAAGAGACCGAGACGTGCCTCCTAGCGAGGCGAAGTCGCTATGCATTATGGGATGCCTGGAGGACCTCCCGGATTCACAGAGGGGTTTCCACTCCTACCAGGAGATGGCCCTCGTCTAGCAACAGTTACTAAGATGGGGAAGCAATAGCTGGTCCCTGTTCTCTTTAACCCTATTCATAGAATCCTGGAGCGTCAGAGTTGCAAGAGGCCTTAGGGATCCTTTTCTAGTCTGACTCCTCCGTATGCTGAGGCCCAGAGAAGGTCAGGGACTTAACCAAGACCTAGAATCCAGGACTCCTAGTCCTGTGTACCTATCGGGAGCTCCACTCTAGAATGTGGAGGCACAGGTGAATGACGTGAACTTTTTTTGAGCCATCAGAGGTCCTTTGGGGGCACGAAGAAAGCTTTCCCATTTCCCTGCCCTGTTCTTGTTGTGGTGTGGACTAATCAATAAGAGTATAAGTTGTAGGTATAGGTTATAGACTGATCCTGGGTGTGTAAAGCAATTGCTGTGGTAAAACTACCTGATCACTTGTAACAGTTCCCTCCTTGCAGGAATGGAGTCATTATGGCTATAGGAGCAAACAGGTGTGGCCGTAGGGACTCCATCTCAGCTATTCTAGGCTCCACCTTAGTTTTTCTGTTATAGCTTCCGTGAAGAGACAGTTGCAGGACCCATTTCTGGGAAAACAAAATGAAAGCTGTTTTCTGCTAAATTCAAAAAAACATATTGTCTTCTGTACTTTGTTCCCCACAAAATGTACTCAACCCAGGATATGGTGGTCTTGGTCACCTATATGACTTTGAAGTAGATTCTCACCCCAGCTGACCACCTGTTTGACTGTTGTCTAGCACCTGCTGGACCCAAGATGAGGTTGACTGAGTTGTTCTGCTAACAGCTTTCTTTTTAAAATGTAAAACAATTTTTTAATCTTATTTTTTTAGCTTCTGTAACTTGCTTGCTTGCTAACTGAAAAATTCCACAGGATGTGGTTTTCATCCTTACATAGCAAATTTCCCTCAGAGGGGGCTCCTGTTCTTTCAGAGGGTCACTTGGACTCTGCTAGACTCAGCCCCTGGACAGGTGTAATTGGCAATATAGGTAAAATAAAAATTCTTCAAATGATTTCAAATTCGGATTTGGTGTATTTTCTGAGCAGTCTCTTCACAACATTCTTAGTTTTCTATCATTTGCATTTATCACTATTTATCATGCTGTACCTTTTATTTGTTTATAATTTTTATGATCTATCTCCCTACTGCAATGTAAGCCCCTGAGGCAAAGGTTTTATTTTGTCTGTGTGGTCCTGGAGGGGGATAAAACTCAGGGCCTTAGATATGCAAAGCTCTGTCCTGAGCTACCTCCTCAGTCCTTAAAGGATCTTATCTGTATTGTCTACATCTATATTCTTTGTGCCTGCACAGACCTTGGCACATGCAGTCTCCAATACTTGTGAAATATGTGAAAGAATGGAGCTGCTTTTGATTTTCTCCAGTATTGGGGACTGAATTGAGGCTCTCAGTCCCATGCTAGGTAAGTGCTCTAATCGTTGAACTACACCCCAGCCTCTGAGCTACCGTTCTGCAGCTCAAGTGGTTTCATTTGTTAAGCCAAAATTAGTTGTTTTGGACTGAGCATGGGTACTAAACCCCAACAGATCAAAACAGTCTCTGCAAGCAAAAGTTTTGCTCAAAGGGGGAGGGCTGGAAGTGGGAAGCAGGCCTCAGATCTGCAAGCTCTTTCTTATTCAACGGCAGAGTCAATAAGTTGAACAACTTGTGTGGCTCATTTTCACGGTGGAAAATGGTGAGGGCTGAAACAAGGGTCTGGGTTATCCTCAGGATGGCAAACTTGCGACCCTAAGGGATGTCAAGGGGAGACATGAAGAATGTTCATGTGCTAATGCTGTTTTCAATGCTTAAATCACTCAATACAATTTGACTCTATAGGTTCTTTTTTTTTAAATCATTGATTAAGAACCTAGTTATGAACTTAATCAAGATTAAGAACTAGATTATTAATCAAGAAAATGAGGGCTGGGGATGTGGCTCAAGCGCCTGGCATGCGTGCAGCCCGGGTTCAATCCTTAGCACCACATACAAAGATGCTGTGTCCGCCGAAAACTAAAAAAAAATTAAAATTCTCTCTCTCTCTCTCTCCTCTCTGTCTCTAAAAAAAAAAAAAAAAAAGAAAAAGAAAAGAAAAGAAAATTACAACCTTTAGTGCTGGGCACTGCAATAGACATAATCAATTCAAAACAAACAATTCTAAGTTAACTCTAAGCACTGCAAACACACTTAATCATGACAGACTCGTGCCAGACATTCTCTCTGCATGCTCAGCTTAAGTGTCAAGTCTAGAGTCTCAAGTCTTAGGGTTTAAGTCCAGCAGATGCTCACTCACTCAGGCTGCAGTGATCAGGTCAGGAACTCATGGAGGCTTCTCCTGGGGTGGAGTTGACGGCTGGCTGAGGAGAGAGTCCTAAAGAGGAGTCACCATTCTCACCAGGGTCTTCACTCTTGGTTTTGTCAGGGTTGTAGAGAGTGACTTGTCCTTATCAGGCTATGCCTGATTCATATTGGAGGGCTCTGGAGGCTGTGCCTGGTGGACCTGAAGGTTTATTTTAAACCGGAGTTACTTAGGCTAAGGCCATTGTTAGGTTAAGGCCATCCTTACAGTTATATAGGCTTCATTTGGTGGTGACAGGAGGGTAGTTTCTGGGGTTTATTGTATTGGGTTGGCTGATACCTTAGGGTGGGACAGGAGTGTGAATAGGGAATTTCCTGGGGCTTATGGTATTGGGGTCTGGTGCCAATCAGGTTCTTTTTGTGCTGAGGCCTGGACTTTTAAATGACAAAAGTTTCAATTTTACCCCAGAGAAGGAGGACAGGTGGGGGAACAGTTGCAAATAGTGGAAATGTCCTTGGACTTATTATTCTGAATATCCTTCAGTTTCTCCAGCCAAAATTCTGACACCAAGCCAAAGCTAAGCTGTTTATCTGACCTGAGAAATCAGGAGAGAGATAATAGCCAATCCCCAAACAGGCCAGTTTTAGCCAACATGATAAGTCTCCCTTTTGTGAGTGTGAGTGTGTGTGTGTTGCTGGGGATAGAACCCAGGGTCTTGTGCATGCAAGGAAAGTACTCTACCAACTGAGCTATATCTTCAGCCCCAAGTCTCCCCTGTTTTAACCTGTGTAAGGAAAGTTGATGAACTCAGCCTAATTCCATCTTAAGACTGGGAGCCATCTTGTCACAAAGTCATGAAAAGATAATTTCTATTTTATTATAAATTACTGAGATTTCTAAACTTGTTTGGAATTCCTGGCCGTGCTCTGAATTCACCCATTCCTGGCTCCCTTTAATCAGATAACAACCCTCTCTAAAACCTTAGTGGTGCCTCATAAATCCTGGCTCCCCTTGATCAGATAACAACTCTCTCTGAAACCTCAGCAGCACCTCATAAATTCTGATGTTAGGATCTGAATTTACTTCCTACCTTGAAATATCATGCCATGTAGATCATTAAGCTGCTATCTGCCCTTGTAATATGTTTGCCAGAACCCTGTTGGCTGTAAGTTCCCAAGACACCCCCCTTTGTCACTTTTTATGCTATATAAACCTTTTCTTTCCTGAGAGCTGGGCTGATCTCTAGCCAATCTCTAGCCCGGCTTTGGAAGATACAGCCGCTGGCCAGCTTTTGTGTACACAATACAAGCTTGCTTTAATTTGATTTAAAATTGGAGTCAGTGGTCTTGTCTTTGCGTCCTGGTTCAACAGAGTAACTTTGAAACAACGAATCTGCTTTCTGTTTCCTCTTTCTGCTTTCCTTAACTTTGGTTTGTCTAGAAAACCAACCTCCCCTGCTCAGTTTATCAGAATGTTCATTCCATTTTATGGGATGAAGTGTTTCCTGATTTTAGAATCATGAAGCAAATTGAGATCTTAACATTATTTTTGTGTTTTGACATATTCCAAAGTGGATTCTTGGTTAAGAGTGTAGAGTCAGCTGGCCGCAGAGGCACATGCCTGTAATCCCAGCAGCTCAGCTCTGGAGGCTGAGGCAGGAGAATCTCGAGTTCAAAGTCAGCCTCAGCAAGGTGAGGTGCTAAGTAACTCAGTGAGACCCTTTCTCTAAATGAAATACAAAATGGGGCTGGGGATGTGGCTCAGTGGTCGAGTGCCCCTGAGTTCAAGCCCCAGTACCCCCCCCCCCACCAAATGTGTAGAGTCAAGTCCAGTGTAGTGGTGCACGCCTGCAGTCCCAGAGACTCAGGAGGCTGTGGGGGATCTCAAGTTTGAGGCCAGCCTGAGCAATTCAACAACCCCTTCTCAAAATAGAAAGGGCTGGGGATGTAGCTCAGTGGTAGACCTGCGTTCAATCCCCAGTACCTTAGGGATGAAAGTGTGTTGAGAGTCAGGTTAGGGTTTGAGTTCTGCATATCTCTGCCTGTCTTTGACTTCTCTTCCCTGAACCCCAGTGACTACATCTGTATATTAGGCAAAGATTTTTTTCTCTGGCAGGACTTAGTCAGGAATAAGTGATATAAAGCTTGTAAAGTGAGTAGTACAAAGGTGGCATTTAGTAGACGCTCAACAGAACAACTAGTTTTGAAAAGTAGGAAGAAATGAGCACAAGAAAACTATTATCGTTCAGAAAACTAGATTTCTGCCAGTGTTTTTTCTTGGTGGGATGTGCTACGGTGGGAGGGAGGGAAGTGGGGCTTGGATACTGTGTAAGGTAGGCTTGGTCGGATGAGACACACGCCTTTGGAAGGTAAGCGCCAGATTCGAGTCTCCGGGAGGAATGGGAGCGGAGGCAGGCGGCTAAAGGGGAGTCTCAACTGGAGGGGGCTGAACGCGTCAGGACAGACAGGGCTCTAGGCCGGGCTTTCCCTTTTGCTAGTCGTGTGAATGCCCGAGTCTCCATAAAAGAGGGTCATCGTGCCGAAGGCAGGGAGAGGTGAAGGTGCAAAATCGCTTACAGTTACCTGCACGCGGCGGCGCGGGCCGCAGGAGGGCCCCCGAAGGGAAGCCCCAACTCAGGGGCGGAGCAGTGGCGTCGGGGTTGACCCGAGGGCGGGGCAAGGGTAAGTAGGCGGCATCGGTGTAGTGACGTAACCGCACGCAGGGGGCGGGGTTAAGGCTCAAGGGCGGAGACTGACGTGGGGGCAGGTCCTGGGCGGGGCGAGGGCGGAGCAGCGTCATGGGTCGGGTTGTGGGGCGGGGCGATAGGCTGGGGGCGGAGCCAAGTGGGCCCGGAAGTAGCTGTGGCTCGGCCTAGGGGCGGGCTCCCGGGAAGCGGTGCAGTGCGGGGGCGGGGCCTGCGGAGGGCGCGGGGCGATGGAGGGGCGGGGCGCGGGGCGCGGGGCGCGGCCCCGCTGCCCGGAAGCTGGCAGGGTCCCGGGTCCAGCGTTCTGCCGGCCATGGATGAAGCGGACCGGCAGCTCCTGCGGCGCTGCCGGGTGCGCTTGGTGAGCGAGCTGCAAGTGGCCCCGCTCTGGGACGCCCTGCTGAGTCGCGAGCTCTTCACGCCCGACATGATCGAGGACATCCAGGTACGTGAGTGTCCCTGCTCGTCTGCGTTCTCTGCTCCTTGCGCGGCGCGTGGACGTTCACGTCTCTGGTGGGAGCCGCGAGGATGTGCCAGGAAGGCTGTAGAAGCCACCCCTTGGCTTAAAGGCCCCGCTCCCGCCCTCCTCTCTCCGCGTTGCACATCGGTGCCCATCCCTCTTGGGGAGCCCCCGAAATCCTGCAATGGAACCAGAGAATCCCAGGCCCCCCTGGTTGCGGGTCTGCTAAGGCGATTCGACGCCCCTCACGGTCAGCGCTGCCACCACGCGCGTGTCTGGTGAGGAGGAGGAGGCTGTGTGTTTTCATTCGGTAGCACAGAGGTTCTGGACGCCCACTGCTGTCCTCTGAGAGAGTCCGATCCTCTGAGAAATGGGGCAGCAGTGATATTGCCCGAGGACGAAGCGAAACAGTGTGTGAAATGGGGCGGCGCCAGGCGCAGACAGTGTGCCCCTGCCCTCTTCACCCACCTCCTGCATGAAGTGAGAGGTTTTGAAAATGACGGGCCCTGATGCGGGGGATGGATGGACTAATAAAGGCAAACTTGAGGCTTTCTAAACAAGCACTTTCACATCTTTGCCCAGTTTGAGCCTCACCACAGGCCTGTAAAGATACAGGAAGGAGTATTTCCCGCCATGAGGTGAGGTGGGTGTGAATGGCCAGCTGGAGGCCCCTGGCTGGTGCCCCAGGGGCTGCTTTACAGGCCAAGGCTCCATCCTCTGCATCATCCAGGAGCTTGGCCTGGTCCTGAGAAGGCATCTTTAATAGGATAAAGTGGTCCAGTGTCATATGGGTAATTACCAATTAATAATAAAAGAAGTATCAGGAGAACCTATTCTGTGGCCCATACTGGGCAGTGAAAGTGGTTCGAGGCCATAGTCCTTGCTTTCAGACACATGCACAGGGACCACAAGCTAAAGGGAAGGCCCACAGGTGGACACTAGAGCAGCCTCTGCCCTCAGCCTCACTCTAGCTGAGTGTTGCTACCTTTTTCAAATTTTGAGAGAGGCTGGGAATCTCAATTTCTGTCATTTTTCCTTGACTTAAAATGTTAGCAACAAATTCAAATTTTTTTCAAGTAACCAGAGGTGGCCATTTTGCCACCACTGGTATGGCTGGTAAACACACAGGCTTAGGACCTAGATGAATCTGGACCCCCATTATGGCTTTGTTACATGCAGGTTGAATCAATATCTTGTATCCAAAATGCTTGGGACCAAAATGTTTTGGATTTTGGATTTTGGGAGATTTTTGAAATACTTGTATGTACATAATGAAGTACCTTGGGGATGGAACCCAATTCTAAATAAGAAGTTCATTTATGTGTCATATATATATATACCTTATACACATTGCCTGAAGGTATTTATTTTCCTAAAGTGATGCACAATTAAATAATTTTATTGTTGTTGACTATGTCATTATTATTACATTAAATATATTTTCTTATGTATATGAAACTTTTAATATACATCAATAACATGCTCATTAAAAAATCATATAATAAATACCTGTGTACTACCCACTTTAAGAAATAAAATAACCACTATCTTTAAAATACACATTCATGTCCTTCTCCCCCAAAGGTAATTTTTAACATAATGTTTTATGTAATCTTGTGCATGAAATAAAGTTTCATAATGTGAATTTTTCCACTTGTAGTATCATTTTTGGGCTCCAAATATTTAGGATTTTGGAATGTTTTTGATTTTCAGATTAGGGTTGCTCAGTCTGTATTAGTGAATAGCAAAAGAAACTAAAACAAAAAAGTTTTGGTGACTCAGTTTCCCTCACGAGTAAGGTGAAAAGTTGTAACTTAGCCCTTTGAAGTGGTTGAGGGGGGGAAATGAAATGATGCATCTAATATCGCCATTAGTGCCCAGAGAAATCTCAACACCACTGTCTGTTTGCAGGAAGCCATTTTGCCAGAGACACTTATCCTCCCAGTAACATGGAGGGCTATTGTTCAGTTTAGCAGCCATTGGCCACATGTGGCTATTTAAATGGATATTAAGTAACTAAAATGAAATAAATTAAAAGTTGGGTTCCTCATCTATTTGTCCCAGGCACTCAACAGCCCCAAGTGACTGATAGCTGGCGTGTCAAACAGCTCAGGTGCAGATTTGCAGCACCATGGAAAGTTATCTTGGACAGTGCTGCAGTAGAAATTTTGAGGACAAGATGGTGTCATATCCCTGTGGATCTTGAGGTCCCACCTCTATTTTTGTCCTGAAGAACTTGTCCAGTGTCAGGTCTCCAAGAAAGGGCAGCAGATAACCAGCGTCTTGTCTTCCGCCTGTTCTGTGTCAGTCTTGATCATTCTGTCCTCACGTCCCACCCAGTCAGTGCCTATGTCCTGTGGATTCTCCCTCCTGATCTGTCCTCTCATTTCTCTCCATTCCAGCCATTTTTGGCACCTCCCGGTGTGGCTGTGGCTCACTCCTTTCCGTTGTCCTCCCTGTCCACAGGTGACTTTTCAAAAGTCAGATCTCACTCTGTCGCTTTGATTGCTCCTCACAGCTCTCAGGATGAGTCCTAGGCCTGGCCACACAAAGGTCTCATCCCTCACCACTACCCACCTCCTCCCTTCGGTTTCTGTAGTTCACTGTTCATTCTTCATCTTCCCTGGGGTCTCAGCTAAGCCTTCCCCTTCTGGGGCCTTTCCAGCCCCCAGGGCTGAGTTGGCTGGCAGTTGTACCCTGACAGCCTCGTGGGCTTTCCCTTGCTGTGTCACCGGTGCTTTTCCTCCCTGTACCCCCACTAGATGTTTGCACCTGAGGACTGACCCTGTCCCTGCTGTGCTTTTAGCACGTAGCACCATGCTGGGCAATAGCATGTGCCTCTGAGATGCTGCGTGACCAGATGAGCAAAGGCTGCAGAGGAGCGTGGGCTCACGTGCAGCTCAGTTTCTGCCTGGTGGCCTGGTTGTCTAGACTTCTGCTAGGTGGGAAGTGGGGCACAGGTGAGGGCCACATGAGGGTGCCTGGGGTAATGTATGTCTGATATTTCTCTCCAACAGCTGGCAGGCTCTGGGTCTCGCCGGGATCAGGCCCGGCAGCTGGTCATAGATCTTGAGACCCGAGGGAGGCAGGCCCTTCCTTTGTTCATCTCCTGCTTAGAGGACACGGGCCAGGACACACTGGCTTCATTGCTGCGGACAAGTCGGCAAGCGGTAAAGCGGGATCCTGAGGCCGTCAGATCCCTGGACCTTGTGCCAGAGGAGCTGCGTGTGATGATGCTGGATCCAGTGAAGCCAGCCTCAGGAAACCTCACCCCAGTGGTGCTGGGGCCCAGGGAGCTCCCGCCAGCTAAGCTCAGGCCAGAGGTTCTCAGGCCAGTGGACGTTGGTTCTGGAGAATTCAGGGATGCCCGTGAGTACTGAGAGGGTGGTTGGTGGGTGGGCATGATGTGTGGTCACTGGGTACAGCTAGGTAGGCTGAGGTCAGAATTCAATCATGGTGTTGCCTTACTGAGTGCTGATAGGTGGAACATTCTAGTAGGTCTTCAAAGACATAATTTTGGCAGGTGCTGGAGTCTATTTTGGGTGTCCCTGTTTTTGATCAGAGTGTCAAAGCCCAGCTGTTCTGGATTTGCCTTTGGGTAGTGGTGAGTAGCTTGGACTAGCCCATGGCTTGTGGCAGAAGGGGGTCAGCCCAGCGTGGCGTACACCCTGACCTCCTTCCCTCACAGCAGCCCTAAAAGGCAGTATTTAGTGCTGTCTGTCCTGAGGGACAGGAATGAAGCCAGGTCCAGGGAGGTGAAATAATTTGCCTGAAGTCACAAGGTTACATCCAGTAACATGCATAAATCCCCGGAGTGCAGCTGGATGATTCTCTCCACACAGGTAACCACTGCCCAGTTCGTCATGGTACAGAATATTCCAGTGTCTTAGGAGACTCTTCTCTTTCCGTCTGTCCCCCTTCTCAGCCTGAGGTAGTCATTGTTCCAGTCTCTGTCATCACTGATCCCTTTTGCTTGAAGTGCAACGTGAGTGACATCCCACGTGTGAGTCTGGAGTCTCTGGCTTCTTCCTGTCATACCTCTGTGGGATCCAGTCACTGTGCTGTGCGGGTCAATACTTCATTCCATGCGGGTGGTGGCAACTCCTATTCTGAACAGCTTAGGGTTTATCTAACCTCCTATTGGTGGTTTATTGTCAGTTAGGGCTTTGCCTCCAGGAATATTTCATGTCCCCCACCCCTATCTCCAGGCACTCTACCACAGAGCTATTTCTCTAGCCCATTTTATACTTTATTTTGAGACAGGGTCTAAGTGTCCCAGGTTGGCCTTGAACTTAGGATCCTCTGCCTCAGCCTTGTGTGATTACAATGTGCACAACCTCACCTGGCATGTGCTTCTTCTTCTGTGACTGCCTGAGGGACCCCTGCGTGGCATTGAGCTAGTAACAACAGTAGGGTTAGCGTCATCCACTACTTGCTGTCTGCCAGGCCCTGTTCGCCGCACTTGCATGATTTAATTTAATCTTTCCATCTCGGGTGAAGCAGGTGCTATGGTTTTCCTATTTTACTGTTGAACAGAGTAAGTTATAGACTTGGAAATGATTGTCCCCAAATCACACAGCTGGTGTGAGGTGGAAATGGAAATGAAATGGATTGCTGCCTAGGCCACCCTGCTCTGCCTGTACTGCTCTCTAGCCCTGGCAGTGGAGATAACACCTGAGCTTCCCGGAGGTCACGCTGTGTTCTCAGCTCTGTCTGTGTGAGAGGATTTCAAGCAAGACACAAGACTTGATCAAAGTATAGTGCAGTTTATTAAAAGAGGAAGAGGATGGGGAAAATCACCCAGGGAGAGTGACAGCTCACTTCCTGGTGTCCCAACTTTTATTGGGGAAGGAGGGAGTTTGTTAGATCCTGCCCAGGTGTCACCTCTGGGCTTGGGGTTGATTACAACCGAGGGCATCTCTTGGTGGTCTTGGCCTGGCTGACAGGTCCTAATTGGAACTGGTTTTGCAGAGTTTATGGTGGGTGGGCTCCATCTCCAGCACCAGGCTTTCCCAGGTCTGGGAATCACTGCTCTGTGCTGCGCAGAGTGGTGTTAAGAGGTCTAGGCGGTGTGCCCTTCTGAGCAAACATACCTTTGTCCTCCCTTGACTATATATATCTCTTTCTCTTGCTGTTAGAGGAATAGATTATAGGGCTGAGGTCAAACCAGGCGTCCTGAGATAGCTACCTTTTCAGACCTTAGGTGCCACCAAAGCAGGGCTGTGGATTGACCAGTTTGTTCTGTGCTAAGTACTCAACTCCTGCAGCTTCATGTGGGCTGCTGTGTGTCATTTGTCCCACCCCTCCTGGCACACGTCTCTCTCTGACAGGGGATGTTGCTCAGAAAACACATGAAGTCCCAGTTTTGTCCAAATTGAAGAATCTTTATTTAGCTGCCTGGCCGTGACTGCTCCCCCACAAGACCCATAAGTGTCTCTGCAAGGAACAGTCCCGAGCCTGAGCATTTTAGGATAGTTAAAGGCAAAAACCACATCCGGGTTGCCGTAGCTGCAAGCAAGCAGGTACAGAAGCTGAGCTGGGCAGTTAGCGAGACAATGCAACGGGTACATTGGTATTTCCCACAGGACTTTCCAGGTTGGCATGGCAGCAAGCCAGCAGAAGGGAAGGGGGTCAAAATGACCCTAGTTCAGTACATGTTAGAGAATGGTTACTAATGTCTAGACAGTCAATCTTGACAAGGTACGTTGCCCAAGAAAAATGGAAACCAGGGGCTGGGGATATGGCTCAAGTGGTAGCACGCTCGCCTGGCATGCATGTGGCCTGGGTTCGATCCTCAGCACCACATACAAACAAGGATGTTGTGTCCACTGAAAACTAAAAAATAAATATTAAAAAATTCTCTCTCTCTCACTCTCTCTTAAAAAAAAAATGGAAACCAAAGAGAACAATTTTACATTGTATAAGAATTGCTATTTTGTGTTGCCAAGTATGCTATGCTGGGTGACTATTAGTGGGAACAGAGGTGGGCTTTCCCACGGGAGAAGCCTTTCGTACATGCTAAGGAGTCTCAGGGTAAAATGGAGTCTGTGTGGTCATTGCCCATATAGCCTGGCCCATAACAACGTGTATCTTCAAAAGAAATCGTGGTTATCCCTCTGATAGATGCTACCAGCTTGGCTTTCAAAAATGTGTTTTATAATTTCGTGAAATGAGGGTAGAGGTGATCCTTCCTCCACGTCCTTGCCAACAGTGACGCCCTTTTTGATGCCTTACGCGTTTTCCTGTGAGCCGTGTGAAAAGTGCTGTCTGTCCTGATGACTGTGACTTCAGACAGCCTGCTAAAGCAGGGCAGCCAACAACATGAGGAAGTGAGGTGTTGGAATCGTTCTTATGCATTATTGCCTGGCTAGGGAAGAGGCAGGCAAAATACAAAGTTCCCATGTTGCCGCCTGGTTCTGAGAAGTGTCCGTTTGAGTCATTTAGGACCAACGGTCTAGACTTGAAGTGTGCTGTCCTACGGGTAGATAGATGATACTAGTGATAATAGGATCACCTTAAATATGAACATCACTTTACTATGCATGCTGTTTTTTTCTAGGTGGTCTAAACTGTGCCATGGCCATATGCGGTGGTGCACACACCTGTAATCCCACAACTCAGAGGCTGAGGCAGGAGGATCATAAGTTGGAGGCCAGTCTGGGCAACTTAGTGAGATCTTGTTTCAAGATAGAATAAAAAGGAACATATGTTATATATAGAGATATGAAAAATTATGCTCTATATATGTAATAAGAATTGTAATAAAAAAAAAGATAAAATAAAAAGGGCTGGGATGCAGCTCAGTAGTAGAACACTAGGTTTCCATCCCCAGTACCAAAAAACAAAAGCCCCAAAACACTAAAAATCCTCAAGAAGTAAACAAACAAATGTCTGTAGTGGCGGGCAGGGAAAGCCCCTCTGTTATCATCTCCAGTTTGTAGGGGAAGAAGCGGGTCTCTGAGAGCAGGTCACATGAGGGTTCCGGTGCAGCACTGGGCTCTGACTTCTGGTGCTGGTCAGAGTTGTCCTTTTTAGGTGCTGGGCGTGAGGTCATGGGCACTGTCCAGAGGGTTTCCTTAGGTGGATTTCATTCTGCAGTCGAGGGTAGGAACATCTGGGCTACGGCAGCAGGGCCACCACAGGACTTCACAGGGCCTTTGCTGAGTCGGCCCGGGAAGGGTGCTATAGGAAGGTCAGTGTGTCTGAGCAAAGAGCAATTTTTATTTTGTCCCCTTCCCCAGGGATGTTTGGCAGTGCCTAGAGGTACATCTGGTCATTACAGCTGAAGGTGAGTGGGTGCTGCTGGCATCTGGTGGGTACAGGTTGGGGATGTGGCTGTATATCCCATGACACATGGGACAGCCATCCAAAATAGAGTAACCCAGCCCAAAATGTCAGGGTGCTGGTTAGTACCCCTGCTGCTCTGGAGCAGGAGTGTGAATAAAAACAAAAATGGGCATACTCAGTGTTACTGAGCTGTCGATTATGGCAGGACTGGTGTGCCCATCAACTGGGAACTCACCACAACCCTGATGCTGGCAGCTGCTTCTCTCATCCTGGGATACAGATGGGGGAACAGAGGCTCAGAGACTGAGCAACTTGCCCAGGGTCATGCAGCAGATAAGTGGCAGGGCTAGGATTTGAACCTTGGCTCCAAGATCTCACTCACTCCATCTACTGCCTCAAAGAACAAATGGCTCATCTTCTTTCTTGTCTCCGTTTGTGTGCCACCAGAGCGCGTGGCTTTGTCTGTGTACATTGGGGGGAAATGCGTTTGCTTCAGAATGGAATGAGCTTTTAAAATGTGATGGCTCGGGTGGCAGGTGCTGGGGTTGTGGCTCAGCGGTAGAGTACTTGCCTTGCATGCACGAGACCCTGGGTTCAATCCTCAGCACCACATAAAAGTAAATAAGTGAAATAAAAGTATTATGTCCAACTACAACTAAAAAATAAATATTAAAAAAAAAAATGTGATGGCTCGTGTGTGGCTGCTTGTCCCGGCCAGGGCCTCCTGCAGCAGGGAGCTGGGAGAGCTGTTGGTGGCCGTATCAGGCAGCGTGCCGGGTTTCTGTTCTCGCGACTAAAAGGCTCAGGGGTCACTCCAGTTAAAGTGGGCTAACTGGCATTCTGTCGCAGAGCCTGTTTTAAGGCCTCCTGTGGCACCGCGTGTGTGGTAGCCCGTTCTGTGGTGGGCTGTGTGGCTGCTTGTCAGTTTGTGTGTCCATCAGCCTGTTGTTGGGTTGGTAGCGTCGCTCGGGGGCTTTATGAGGAGGCCTCTTGGAGATGTGGCCAGAGGCCCAGGGTCTGTGTGTGTTCGACTTTATTAGAAACTTCCACTCAGTTCTCCACGGTGGCTGTGCCACTTGATCCCATCACCAGCAGAGCTTGGGGTCCCGAGTCCCGGCTCGCTCTGTTTTGTGGGAGCTCTCCCCACGTGGTCCCTTGGCCTTTTCCTGGGGCCCCAACACTCACGTTTCTCTTTCTGTCTGTCTCTCCAGATGCTCAGGAGCCGTCGAGGGGAAACACAGATTTGGTGAGTCTCCATGAGACTAGGGGCCTGTCCCTCTCATCAGCCTCGCTCCTTCCCTGCAGCCGTCAGGAGTCCTGGGGACCCAGCCCAGTTGGGGAACGAGGTTCCGGCCCCGCCGTCCATGGCTCTGACCTGGGTTTGGTGCTCACTGAAGCCATCGAGCAGGCCTGCTTCACCCCAGCGGTAGAATCAGGTCCCACCTAACGGGACGTCGTCAGCACCGGCCGTGGTGCTGTTCCATGCCAGGACACTCGTGCTCTTGTCCCCACCTGTGTATTGTTGGGTGGCTCCTGGGCGCTGCCCTGGGATGGAGGCCACAGGGAGCCCTCAGTCTGGCCTGGCAAGGGAAGGCGCAAATAAAGGGCAGCAAGTCCCAGAGCAGGAAGAGGCGGCTGTGGGAGGGTCGCGGGGGCTGGGCCGGGGGAGGTGGCCTCGGCCTCCGGGGCCAGGCCTGGGCGAAGTCTGCGGACGCAGCTGCCTCACGACCGCCAAGTGCACCTGGGTGAGAGCCACCGACTGGTGTGTGGCACCAGTGGGTCACAGGCTTTCTAAGCCAGCTGCTCTGTCCCTGAGCACAGAGTCGGAAGCCTGCGTCTCTCTGTAAGGGGCAGCCAGTGCCCGCCCTGCGGCTCCCTCGGTCCCTCTGTGTCCTGGAGTCCCGGGTGGGGCCTGCAGTGGAAGGGACGCCCATGCCTCTCCCACCTCTCAGCTGTCAGCCCCTGAGTGAGAAGCAGGGTCACCTCCTCCAGGAAGTGGGACAGCCCCGCTCACATTGGTCCTGTCCCCTGTCCCTGGGGCAGGCGTACGTCCTGCGCGCGGACCCCTGCGGCCACTGCCTCATCATCAACAACGTGAGCTTCTCCCGCGCATCGGGGCTCAGCGCGCGCCTGGGCTCCAACGTGGACTGTGAGAAGATGCAGCGCCGCTTCCGCTCGCTGCATTTCACCGTGGAGGTGACGTGCAACCTGACTGCCAAGGTACAGTCACCTGTCACCGCACGTGGGGGAGCCGAGGCGAGTGGGCAGTGCCCTGCAGGAGACCCTGGGAGCAGGCTGGGGACTTTCCAGATGAGCACTGCCTCTGTAGGACCATGGGGTGTGTCCCAGGGTGACACTCAGGAGGGCATGCGGCCTGCTGCCTGCATGTGACACGTGCCTCAGTGTCCCTGTCTAGAAGGCCAGAAGAGTCCCCTGGGGGGCTGCTGTGGGATTACAAGAAGGTGCCTGAGCTCAGACCTTTTCCCCTGAGCATGGGGCTGTCGTGACGATTACCTCAGAATTGGCCCTTGGAGGCAGGGCGAATGCTGGGCCCTGCCCTCTGCGGCAGGCAGGTGACCTGATGGCCAGTGCTCTGGCTCACCTGCAGCCTTCCCTTGTAGAAGATGGTCCAGGCTTTGGTAGAGCTGGCGCAGCGGGACCACCGTGCCCTGGACTGCTGTGCGGTGGTCATCCTCTCCCACGGCTGTCAGGTAGGAGGCCTCTCCCCGACCCTGCTCCCCGTCAGGCACAGGCGAAGCTGGGCGAGAGGCCCTGCAGGACTCCTGTCCCTCATGTCCACCGCACCCTTGGCTTTGTGAAGAACCGTGCAGCCCTGTCCACCTCTTGCTGTTCTCCCAGGGGGCCCCGGGTGGGCAGCCTCCCGAGAGAAGCCCACAGGACACGAGGGAGGGGCGAGCTGTACTCTCGAAGCTTCCACCCGGTTCTGTGTGGAGCTGTGTGCGGCACTCAAATCCTCAGGCCCCGCAGGGTGTTCAAGCCCTTGCTCTGGGGGACTCAGGCACCGGGACATGCTCAGGGCTTGGCCAGTGATGTGCTGACTCACTGTGGCCAAGCCCCTGCCGGGCCTTAAAGTCCTCATCTTTTATGCTGGGGGTTGGACAGCCCAACAGTCACCCCTTGGCCTTCGCCCTGTTTTCAGAACACATAAAAATCAGGATTGGGCTGGGGATGTGGCTCAAGTGGTAGCACGCTCGCCTGGCATGCGTGCGGCCCGGGTTCGATCCTCAGCACCACATACAAACAAAGATGTTGTGTCCACCGAAAACTAAAAAATAAATATTAAAATCCTCTCTCTCTCCCCCTCTCTTTAAAAAAAAAAATCAGGATTTCCCCTTCTTGGAAACCATCATGGTCTGGCCTGCCAGCCTGCCATCCTCCCAGAGCAGAACTCTGGCCTGTTGCCAGCAGGCGCAACCTTTTGGGCCTTTCACTCACAGTGTGGCAGCAGGGGTGTCCCCTGAGCCCTCATGAGAAGCCTCAGGCCCTAAGTGGACCTGTGTCCAGAGCTTTGACAGGTGGCCTTGTGGTCCTGTGCATAGGAAGAGCCCTGGAGCAGCGGCTCTGACTGCTCAGCGCCTTGGGAGGATGAACATTTCCTGAATGTTCTGAGTGATGCGGATGCTGCTGGTCCAGGGATCACACTTGGCGGGGGGGGGGGGGGGGCTTCTGGTCTAGCGGCAGCTGCCCAGCACTCTTGATAGCTGGCCTGTCCAGGGACAGATGCTGCTCAGGGCCCTTCCAGGATCAACCTGCTCTGTCACAGTCAGTCCAGAGCCCCAGGGGGACCTTCTGAGTGTGTGGCCCCCACAAAGCCTCTGGAAAGGCCGCTGGATTTCTGCCACGGTGTCTTGGTTTTAACCAGGGTCCTTGGTCTTCTAGGCCAGCCACCTCCAGTTTCCGGGTGCTGTCTACGGCACAGATGGATGTTCTGTGTCCGTCGAGAGGATTGTGAACATCTTCAACGGGACCAGCTGCCCCAGCCTGGGGGGGAAGCCCAAGCTCTTTTTCATCCAGGCCTGTGGTGGGGGTAAGCAGCTCTGATGGGGAAGGAGCCTCTGCCCCTCCCGTCCCCAGCAGCACCTCCCGTGTCCACAGGGCCGCCCCAGGCAGTCAGAGTACCAGGCACAGTTCCTGCTGCAGGGTGGCAGTGCTTCAGCTGTCCAGAGGAGACCCAGGCTTGTCCGCTCTGAACAGGGTGGTCTTCATTTTACACTGCAGTAGCGTCACAGGCTCATGTGACTTTGGCAACTTCAGAATTTTGGTAAAAACAAAGCAGTGGAGAGAGTGGAAAACTGTCTTTCTGTTTTCCTGGTCGTCTTTCCTCTGACCTTCGTTTCCACTGTGGGGGGGGAGAGAGGCCACAGCTGAACGACAGGGAGAAACCGAAGAATCTAGCCATTGGGATTCCCCAGAATCCGGATCTTGGTGATTTAAGAAACCTAAAGGATTATTTGTAGTTTTGCTTTATGCTGTGTCTCACTCCATTTTCTGTTACGTAATCAAATACCACACACTGGGTGATTTATAGAGGACAGAGGTTTGTGTAGCTCGAGGTTCAGGAGGTAAGGAAGAGCAGGCTGTGGTGCATGGGAGGGTCTTGGTGCATGTCACCCTGGCGAGAGTGTCAGAGACAGAACAAGCATGCTAGCTTGGGTCCCTCTCTACTTCCTGATTTTTAAAGACTGGATCTCGATAGATTGGTCTTGAACTTACGTGTTCAAGTGATCCTTCTGCCTGTGCCTCCCCAGTAGTTGGGACTACAGGTGTATGCTGCTGCTCCGACTCCTCCCTCCCTCTCTCCCTCCCTTCTATCTTTCATATCCGGGATTAAATCCAGGGGTGCTCTACTACTAAGCTACATCCCCAGAATTTATTTTGAGACAGATTCTCACTAATTTCCCATATTGGCCTCCAACTTGTGATCCTCCTGCCTCAGCCTCCCAGGTACCTAGAATTATAGGCATGTGCCACTGCACCTAGCGTATTTCCTGGTTTTCATATAGAAAAGAAGCTGGGTGTAATAGCAGCACCTGTAGTCCCTGCTACTTAGGAGGAAGGCTAAGGCAGGAGGATCATTTGAGGCCCAGAAGTTTGAAACCAGCCTGGGCAATATAGTGAAGCCCATCTCAAAAATCAAAACAACAGACCAAAAAAAAAAAAAAAATTAAAAAGACAAAAGAGGAGTGCTGCTTTCCTGGCTTGGTTATGGTGGAGACAGTGGGGAACGCCAGAAATTCGGTCCCTGGTGTCCCTTCTGCCTGAACTCTCCAGGGGTTGATACAGTTGGAAGGCCTGTCATTTCCTTGTCCCTTTGCCGGACCTGATAGAGAAGTGGGCACCATCATCCCACACAGCTGCCCAGCCCACCCAAGGGGACTCTACAGCATGGAACCCGCCACGAAAACAAAGCAGACCCTTGGCAAGTTTCTTTTCTGCTGCCTTTCCCCACCCGCTCTGCTGCCTGGTGTTCAGAGCTGTTGCCACACGGTGGCGCCACATCAGCCGAGAACAGAAATGCAGAACTGTCTCCATTCCTGGCAGGGTGTCCTTGTTTATGTGCGTCAGAAACCCTGCCCTGCATTTTGGTGACTTTCGTAATGCTATTTTAAAACTCAGTTATAATTTAAGATAATTTTAAAATGCCACAATGTTATCCACCCCTTCATTCAGAGGTGGCACGGCTCCAGGGCTGAACAGCGGGCCGTGAAGTCAGTAACTTGGTGTGGAGTCAGCGTGACACAGCATGACACGTGTGGTCCACGTGACGGAAGCCAGGTGGCTGCCTTGATGATGTCCAGCTGTCAGTTTTGGGGTGACCAAGCTGAGAAGGCAGACAGCAGGCATGTGTGCCACCTGGTTGTGGTTGTGGGTTGTGTGTGGAGGGAGCCCTCCTCCTGCTGTGTGTTTATTCTGTGGGGATTAGTCTTGCTCTATAGGGAGTTTTGAGTTAATGAGGCTAAGAACCAAGCTGTGCCTACAGTGCATAACCCTGAAGGCCAGGCCTTCACATCAGATTTGCAGTGTGAAGACAACACATGTGTGGAGATGCAGCTGGCATTTCTGTATGACTCAGCCTCTCCCCTTTCCCGCACACCCCTGTCTTTGAGCCCACTTTGTCCTTTCATTTTCACACAGTCTCTGCTCATCCCTGTCTCCCTTGGTCCTCCTTATGGTCTCTCCCACATATTAGTCAGTTTTCTGGTACCATAATAGAATACCTGAGGTTGGATATTTTATAAAGAAAAATGGTTTACTTGGCTCATGGTTCTAGATTTTGCCCTATGTTTTCTTCTAAGAGTTTTATACTTTTAGGTCTTAAAATTAGGTCTTGATCCAATTTGAGTTAATTTTTTGTATATGATATTAAGGAAGGGTCCAACTTCATTCCTTTGCATGTGGCTATCCAGTTGTCCTAGCGGTGTTTGTTAAATATTGTCCTTCCCCCTTGAAAGGTCTTGGCACCCTTGTGAAGATTCACTGGACTGCGTTGAGGCTCTCCATTCTAGTCTGCTGGTCTATGTGTCTGTCTTTATGCCAGCACCACTCTGTTTTGATTATTTTAGTTTTGTAGTAAGTTTTGAAGTCAGGAAGTTGTCCAGCTTTATTCTTTTTTATTTTCCCAACATTGTTTTGGCTCTTTTGGAATCCGTTGAGATTTCTTTTGAATTTTAGAATTTGTTTTTTTATTTCTGCAAAAAACATCATGGGGCAGGGTTGAGAGCTCAGTTGGTAGAGTGCTTGCCTCGCATACACAAAGCCCTGGGTTCAATCCCCAGCTCCACCAAAAAAAAAAAAAAATCATTGGGATTTTGACAGGAATTGTATTTAATCTATAGCTGTGTTGAGTCATATTGATGGCCTAACAATATTGTTCCCTAACTCATAGCCATGGGTAGTATTTCTATGTATTTATGTTGTTTCTAATTTCTTTTATTTAAATTTTTTTTCAGTTGTTAATGGTCCTTTATGTTTATTTATTTATATGTAGTGGTGAGAATTGAACCCAGTACCTCATGCATTCGAGGCAAGCGCTCTACCACTGAGCTATAGCCCCAGCCCTGTTTTTAATTTATTTCAGTAGTGTTTTGTAGTTTTCATTGGTTAATTCCTAATTTTTTTGTTTTGATGCTACAATTGGTTTCATAATTTTCTTTCCTGATTGTTCATTATTTGGTATATAGTTCACTGCACGTGTGTGTGTGTGTTGACTTGTACCCTGCTCCTTTGCTGATTTCATCTTTATCAGTCCTAACAGTTTTCTTGGTGTAATCTTCAGGGTTTTCTACTTAATTAGATCAAGCCTTCTGTGAACAGAGGAAGTTTCTACACAGGACGCCTTTTCCTTTTCTTGCCTAATTGCTCTGGTTAGAGTTTCTAGTACCATGTTGCGAGGCAATGGCAAAAGCAGTCATTCCTGCCTCGTTCTTGACCTTGGAGGAAAAGCTTTCAGTCTTCACCACTGAGTACGATGTTCACTGTGGGTTTTTCACATGTGGCTTTTTTGTTTTTAGTCCTTTTTAATTGGTGTATTACTTGTCCTAATGGTGGGGTTTGTTATTATATATTCGTGTGCACAAAATACAATGTCATTTGGCTAATGTCACCCCCCCCCGCTTCCGTCTTCTCACCCTCTGGGTCCCTTTCCTTTATTCTGCTGATCTCACATGGCTTTTATCATATTCAGGTAGTTTCTGTCTGTCCTTAGTTTGTTGTGTTTTTATCATGAAAGGTTGTTTGTTTTATCAAATGTTTTTTTCTGTGTCGTGGGAGAGGGTCATGTAGTTTCTCTCCATTCTGTTAGTGTGCTGGGTTACACGGATCAGTTTTCAGTGCTGAGCCATCCTTGCATTCCAGGAGTAACTCCCCCTTGGCCATGGTGTGTGATCTGTTTACTGTGCTGCTGAATTTGACTTGCTAGTTATTTTATTGAGGACTTTTGCAGCAATGTGCATAAGGACTATGAGTCTGCAGTTTTATCATCATATCTTAGCACCTGGCTTTAATATCAGGGGAATGCTGGCCTTGAAGAATGAGTTAGGGAGTATTTCCTCTTAATTTTTTGGAAAAGTTTGAGGATTGGTGTTAATTTCCCTTTAAACGTTTAGTATAATTCACCAGCGAAGCCTTCAGGGCCAGGGCTTTTCTTCTGTGTGTCTTGGTGATGAGTGCTTGTTTCTGCTTCCTGCAGAGCAGAAAGACCATGGGTTTATGGTGGCCCACGCTTCTCCTGGAGACAGGGCCTCTGGCAGCAACCCTGAGCCAGACGCTGTCCCCTTCCAGGAAGGCTCGAGGACCTCTGACGAGCTGGATGCAGTGTCGAGTTTGCCCACACCCAGTGACATCCTTGTGTCCTATTCGACCTTCCCAGGTGAGCGCATCCTTGGGGGTCTTCCCGTCTGCCCCACAGGCAGCCATGCTGTGAGGTCCTGGTTCTGACCTTGCTGCTTTTGTGACCCCAAGCAAGTTACTTCATTTCTCTGAGCCTCAGCTCAGGGTGAAGTGGGTGAGATGCCTGAGGTGCACAACCACTGGGTTGGGGTGCTTCTGCCTCACCCTCCCCCAGCTCTGCCTCAGCCTCCTCCTCTTTACAATGGGAATAGTAATCCTACCTTGGGGTTCTTGGGGATCATCCAAGGGGCTGGTGCGTCATGGGGCACAGTGCCTAGCACACAGGAGGAAGGAAGGGCTGACTCTGCCCCGTGAGTCATTGGGCTCTCAGAGCCTCGGTTTCCTTGCTGGGAAGACAGTCTCAGCCAAGCTCAGGAGGTGATCACGAGGTTGAAGTAATGCCACCGGTGTACAGGGCCATGGGGACGTGGCTCCTTCCGCCACATGCAGATGGGCCCCAGTCCGGAGGTGGCCCCCACAGCTCTCCTCTTCCCGCAGGTTTCGTCTCCTGGAGGGACACCTCGAGCGGCTCCTGGTACATTGAGACACTGGACAGCGTCTTCGAGCGCTGGGCTCACTCTGAAGACCTGCTGTCCCTCCTGCTCAGGGTGGGTGCCATTTCACTTTGCAGGGCAGCGTGTCCTCCTCAGGGCATGGGCGGGCGCAGCACACCAAGCCCACACCAAAGGCAAGGGACAGGTGGGCCTTGTGTGCTTCTGAGCCTTGGGCTTTGATTCTCTCTGCCTGCAAGGGTCACGCCCCCTTGCTCCCTTAGAGTCCCCGTTGACATAGCTGTCCTTGTTGCCACAGTGGATGGCTCAGTGAAGGCTGGTTGTGGGCCCCCTGTCCCCTCCCCCCATGGCATAGTTTTTACTCTTGACCCTGAGGAATCACGATGCCCCTGCAGTGCATCCAGGGATCCAGGGAGTGACAGACAGGGAAGGGCAGGGCTTGGCCCGCTCCTTGGAAACCCCATCTGGAGCAGCTGCTTCTTCCAAGGGTCCCAGAGTATGTGGTTGCCTCTGGGTCCTCCCGCTCTGCCCTGGTGTTCTGCACCATGAGAAGGGGCTCTAAGGGTCGTGCTTGCTTCTGAGGGAGGTTCTGGCCTGAGCATGGCCGAGCAGAGCCAAGGCCGCCGACAGCCACCTCCCACAGTGCCGGGGTGTAGGCGCCACAGCCCTGGGTAGGTGACCCCCAGAGGCCACCAGGACTCCTGGTCTAGTCTCTTCTCTCGACCTTTCTTCACGTGAAGCTTTTGTTCTGATTTGAACTTTGTGAAGTTTTGGGTTTTGAAATTTTGCGTTTTGTGCTCTTTAAACTTATAGTAGTCCTGGGTGTGGTGGCCACACCTGTAATCCCAGCGACTAGGGAGGCTGAGGTGGCAGAATGGCTAGCTCGAGGCCAGCTTCAGCAACTTAGACCCTGTTGCCAAAAAAAAAAGTAATAATGAGCTGGGAGCGTAGAGAGGCGGTCCAGTCCCAGCTCTGCACACCACACACCCTGGGCCCGTTTGGTGCTCACCTCCCAGCCTGGCTTGCTTCAGCTGAGAACTGAACTCTGATTCCCTGTGCTCTCCTTGCAGGTGGCTAATGCTGTTTCAGAGAGAGGAATTTACAAACAGATTCCTGGTTGTTTTAATTTCCTCCGGAAAAAACTTTTCTTTAAAACTTAAAGGGGCCGGGATGCTCACCCTGCCTCATCGTCATCCCAAGACCTTCTGCTGCGGTCCTGGAGGCGGAGAGGCCTGGCCTGCTACAAGTTGAGGGTTCTGTGGCCTGTGCAGGGCCTGCTCCTTCCCGACCCCAGAGGGCAGCTTCTGGTCTGGAGGCAGATGCCAACTGTGTGGAAAGGAGCAGAAAGTCATGGGTCCATAGGACCTCTTCATCAGTGGCCAGTCCTGGATCTGTGACCCCACGTTCTCCCTGGAGCAGTGCCTCTAGCCCCACACTGGTTATTTGCAGGGCCAAACGGCCCTTTGCTGTGGGCCTTCCCTGCCCCGTTCCTGGCTCCCTCCCTCCAGATACAGGAGCATCCCTCCCCAATCCTGAGTCATGCCAACCAAAAATATCTTCAGACATTGCCAAATGTGCCCTGGGGGACAGAACCGCCCACGCTTGAGAATAATCCATCTGCAGGGATTTGGGGCTACAAACCAGCCAGCATCTCTCTTAAATCAACAAGCTCGGGCTCTGGACTCTGGCAGCAGGGGCCTGTGAGTTCTGAGTGGAATTTCAGAAATTTATTGCATTATCTAGTCTTCACAAACAGCTCTCAGGTGAACATGGACCCTCTGGCCTGTCTCCCCGTTTTGCTCTGGTGCTTTGTACTTCCTCATAATGGAGACTCTGCCTGTTTGAGAAAGTGGTCTTATTCCACTTAATCCCCCCTGCATCCCAAGGGGAGGGGTGAGACCACAAACGCAGAGGACAAGTCTCTTGTCCAGGGGAACACTGTTACCAGATCTGGCCAGATCCAGGTCTTCCAAGTCCTGACCCCTGCTTCCCACGTGCCTTCCTTGCTGAGGGACCCCATCCAGGTAAGATGACTGTGCTGTGCCCTGGACAATGCTGGGCTTGCCCAAGCCTGCCCTGGCCCTGAGCCCTGCTGTCCTTGTTTGCAGGACCATGAGGTCTGGATGGTCTGCTAATAAGTCACACCAAGATGTGAATCGTGGTAATTGCTACTTTATTAGTATTTTGCTTCTGCCTTCTTTCCAGTTCTGAAGTCCAGAGGCTTCTTTGGTTAGTTATTTGCAATGACCTGCAGGACACACACAAGAAAATAAGCCAGTGGCCCGTGCGGCAGTGTCTCCACCTGAGGAATTCTGATGACATTTGGGAGAGAAACGGGAGACCACAGCTTTTCATTGACTCCTGGGGTCTTACAGTAAATAGGGGTCTCAGCCTGGAGTCCTGTTTGGGCTTTAGATCAGGGGCCTATCAACCCTTCAAAATCATATGCAGATGGGCGTGGGCTTAGATTTTATTTAGTTTGTTTCTCAAATCCAAAGTGCTGTTTGTGAGGCACCTGCGACCTGCCTTCAGAGAATGTTTCCCAGATCCTATTCAGGCTTTTTTTTATTTTTTTGGTGCTGGGGATTGAGCCCAGGGCCTCTCACCTACTAAGCACCTGCTCAACTACTGAGGTACACCTCTAGCCCCTGAACACTTTACTATGATGATCCAGGACCCACTGAAGCTTCTGGATCTCTGCAGCACAGATCCTCAGGCTGGTGTGCGGGACGTGTGTGCAGGGATGTTCACCGTAGCGACATAAGGGTGAGAAACAGGAAACAGAATCCCCTCTCCTCATGGTGGGAGTGGGGAAACCAGTTACCACTCAAAGGAGTGACATGGGTCAAAATGTGACAGGGGATCAAGTGGAGAGCTAAGTGGCAGATCAGGAGTTGGACCCTGGTTTTGGTTAGAAGTCTGGGAGCATCGTTGTACATCTGTAGGTATTTTTTATATGCACACATAGCCCAGGTCACGAGCCTGCACTGTTAGCAGTGACGATATCTGCAGAGTAGAGACGGAAAGTGTGGGAACGTCATCTTTTTTACCTGATGCCCTCCTGTTTTATTTTAATATTTTTATAAAGAAATGTTTTACCTTCTGAAAAAGAAAACAAAGCTAGTGACTGCTGAAGGTTCATGTGTTGCTGTCATCCAGGGGACATCTGTTGAGAGGGTGGGAGTCCCGGGCCATCTGTCTCCTCCCTGCACCTGCCTCTGGGCAGCTGCAGGGAGGAGACAGATGGGCAGCTCCTGACCTTGACCCACCACCTGTCTAGGTTCACCCAGCAGGTGCTCCCAAGCACCCCCGGGCCTTAGCTGTTTGTGCCTCCTGCTGCTCATGGTGTGTCCCTGGCCTGGGACCCCTGCAAGGTGCTACCAGCCTCTTGCAGCTGCTGGGACACCCTTTGCCAGGGGACAGCTGGCTGCCTGACTGTCTACTCCGGAACCCGTGGCTGGGCATTAGTGCCACCCTGGCTGCTTTGTGGTGGATGCAGCCTCCATCCAGCTGCCACCCAAGGTTGGCTTCCCATTGATCCCCCTGCCATCTGGCCCGCTCTGCTGTGCTGCTTCTGGGGCTGGGAACAGCTGAGGCTGGGCAACACATCAGGGCAGTTGCCCTGGGCCCTGCTTTGGGTCTAAAGGTGCTGCCAGGCCCAGCTGCACAGACTCACAGGGCAGCTGGGGCTGGAACAGCTTCCTAGGCCTTGGCTGGGCCAAAGCCCCGAGTGCCCTTCCATTCAGTCAGCGAGGCCCTCAGCAGTGCTGGTGGCTCCTTGAAAATGGCATGCAAGTGTCCTGCCAAATCCAGTCCTGGCTCTCTAGTCAACAGACAATGCCCCAGCATCAACACAACCTTGAAAATCAACTAACGTTTTTGGAATCTCTGGGGCCTGTGGCCACTTGGCCAAGCAGAGCCCAGAGGTGGACAAATGAACATGGAGCCACCAAGCAGTCTGGGCCAACTCGGAAGCAGCCACCTGCTCGTTTGGACAGCATGGTTTTCCTCATGTGGCCAGGCTCACACTGCAATTTCCTATTTTGTTTTGTAACAGAGTGACAATTTAATTCAACTGAACGGTTTCCTGCAGATTAAACTTAAACGAGATCAGATGCCAGCTCCCCTCCTTTGCAGGCTCTGCCAGAAGCACCGCAATCCCCACTTGCTCTTCTGTAAAGTCCCACTTTACAGAAGAGCAAACCAACTTGGTGGCAATGCTGGGGTGGCTTAAAACCTGCCTCCATGGCAGTCTCTCTCCCTCCCGGCTTTGGTCCCCAGACAGTGCGCCTCCTCCACTTGCCCCCAGAGTTCCTTTCTTAGGGATGAGTCTTCCTGTCATCCAGCTGCTTCTAATCACTGGGATGAGGATGATTATTTTTTGGGTACGGGGGATTTAACTCAGGGGTGCTCTACCACTGAGCCACAACCCCAGGCCTATTTTGTATTTTATTCAGAGATAGGTTCTCACTGAGTGAAGACCCCTGCTATTGCTGAGGCTGGCTTTGAATTTGTGATCCTCCTGCCTCAGCCTCCTGAGCTACTGGACAGTGATTATTTTTTAAATTATTTTTAATGATTTTTATGGTTATTGTAAACAAATTTGTTTGTTGTACTAAAAAATAGAAATTGTTGTGGAAGCTCATAGGAACACAGCTCTCTGGGGACATGTTTACAGTCACAGGAGGACCAACTCGGCCCCATTTGCCCACAAGCATCCCAACCCAGCCCTGAAAACGCTCATCCCAGGAACCCTCTCAGTCCTGGCAAACCAGGATGGTTGGTCACCCTACAGAATACTCTCCAGGGGGACTAATTTCTAATGATTAAGGTTGGGGGGTGTCTCAGACCATTAGGTTTGAGCTTTGCAAATAAATATGGTCATTTATAGCACTGGATGGTGGGGTCTGGGCCCCCACACTGATAAGCAAAAATGAAATATCCCACTAATCCTAAGGAACCCACTCAAAATGCCTGAGGGGTGTCCTGTGTCCAACCTCCTTGGACAAACTCACCCTCTATGTTGCTTTTCACCCAATTTGACATGCAGAAATTTTGGATGCGATTATGCAGCTTCCTCTGAGGGCCCCCCCCCACACTCTTGAGGGAGGGAATTCTAGACCCTAGGTGGCATTTGTGGGGCCAGGTGAGCAGGGCAGGGCCCATGGGGCTCAGGACTGGTCTGGTTCTTACCGTATTGATCCAGTCTATGTAGTTGGAGACCCTGGTGAAGACGGAAGGCTTGCGGTAATAGTTGCAGCCGAGAGAGGACCCGAAGCTGACCACGCCGTGCACTTGCCACTTGCCATCAGCCGCCTGGCAGTTCAGGGGCCCTCCAGAATCGCCCTGAACAAGAGTCAGATGAAGAGAAGGGAAGGGAAGGGGCTGCCCAGGGGGACCCCTGTTCTCAAGGCACTCATGCTGCTCTGTCGTGGGTTGCCACAGCTCTGGGTGCGACGGTAGGACTTACAAGAGCTGCATTTGTCCCTGGGTGTCCTGAGCTGAGCCAAGCACTTTATTGGCCTCATCTCCTTACAAAAGCTATGAGGCAAGTGTTGTGAGTACCCAGTTCACCTGAGAGGAAAACCTGGGGTGTTCAGAGGCTGCACCTTGCTTGAGGTTGTCCTGGCACAAATGACCCTGCGGAGCTGCACACCAGTTAGGCTGCTGAGCTCTTATTCACCACCAGCCACCTCCTCCCATGACAAGGAGTTTCCTGGGGTCTCTATGGGCAGATTGAGGGCACACTTGGTCTGAAGGACATGAGAACCCCTTCCATCTCAGTTCCCACTCTATTGCAGAGCCCAGTTAAGACACCATCTCGGGATGGGATTGTAGCTCAGTGGTAGAGCGCCTCTCTAGCATGCCTGAGGCGCTGGGCTCATCTCAAGCCACCTTTTCTGGAGATTATAAGGACCAGATTCTGAAACGTCCAGAGGGGTTTCCAGTGCTCTGTCAGGAGGGATGAGAACGGATGCTGGGAACTTTGGGACCTCTCCTCGTCCCCAGTCCCATTTCACTGTCGAGGGAGCCCTGGCGTTGGATACTCACATTGCAGCTGGAAGTCACACCGTCACCCCCAGCGCAGACCATGGTGGTCTTCACGGAGCTGCCCCACCAGCTAGCGCTGGAGCAGGTGGCGTAGTCCACAACCAGCAGCAGGCCCTGCTGCAGGATGTCGGGAGAAGCCCCATTGGCTGAGCGAGACCAGAAAGAACGGATCAGAGGGACAGAGGGACTCCTGAGTAAGAAGGAAGTGGTGACACCTGTTGGGCTGTCCCTCTAGCCTCTTTCGCTGTGGCCCTTGTCACTTTCTCCCATGGCTCTAATGGGAGCAGCCATGTTTCCTATTCTGTGCCCTCACAGTTGATTGGTCAGTGTTCTGGCCGCTGCTGATTGGTTCGGGGGTGAGCACCTGACTTACACTAAGCCAATGAGCTTCTTCTCCTGGGAATTGGAGTTGGAGACTAAGAATTCCCGCCCAGGGAGGTCTCAGCAGTGGCTGCCATTTTTTTTTTTTTTTTTTCTCCATGGAGAAAAGCTTCAGGGGGACCCACCCAGGAAAGAAATTCCTAGGGCGGGCTCATGAATTTCTTCCAGGCCCCAGTTCCTGGTTCTGGCCTGTTCCTAATGGCTGGCTGTGTCTCTCTGCCCCAGGGTTGAGACTTTTCAATCCTTAAAATCTTAAAGCACACTAGTTGGAAAAAATAGTTGGTGTGATCAGGGTAGCACTTTCCTAGTAGCCCCCTATGACACTGCCACCGTCACATACTACCCCATCAGCGTTACCGCCCCTACTAATGGAGAGGATAAGGAGTATTTTCATTCTTGCCCTTTACTAGGCTTTCCAAAGAGGCAGTCCTCACAGAAATATCAATAAATATTGTCTGATACATGGGACACTGAAATCAAGAGAAATTAAGTCCCTTGCCTAAGATCACTCTCACTGATATATAATTAACACTCGGATAACACCTGGCACGTTATCACACATGTCTTCTAATCTTCACCAACAGAGTTTCCACTTTAAAGATGAGGAAACCAAGGTCCAGAGGGGCTTGCTGAGGTCACATAGTGATCTTCAGGCAGGCATTTGGACATCCCTGGCCATGGCCACTCCACCATCTCACCATCTCCCTGCCCTGGGGTTTTCTGGATAACAAACAGGTGGGCACACTTGTATCTGATTTGCATGAGACGCCCCCTCCATCCTCCTGCTTCTGCACAGTTTTTCTGTGCCCTTGGTTTTGAAGACAAGCTAGTCAGGAGGGCCGTAGTCATTTCTCCGAGTGCATCAGTGTTGATGTACTCATCTGTCACTCATAGATTTATGTCATTATGAAAAAGAAATCCCTCTTCTGCACAGACCTCCCTAGAATCTTCCAAACCTCTGGTGATTTTATAAGGGACAGGTAGGTGCTCTGTCCCTTTTGGTGTCATGGGATTTCTGACCCTTGGGTTTATGTCAAAAGAAGACTCACGATAGCCCATTTCCCAGGAGGAAGACCAAGTGGCCCAGGAGACAGGTTTGGATAAGGGGGGGGGGGTGTCCATGCGGGCTCCAGGGACCTCTGTGGAGCTCCAGAACCTTGAGGTCCCAGAATCTGTGCTGTTCTGGGCCCATCTGTGCTATGCAGAAGTGTCATATGGTCTCTGTACTGCTCATTCAATTCCAGTGACAGTAACAATTAGCACACAGCAGCTACTATGTGCCCTTGCTTTTTGGTCTGAGTGCCTCCCTTGGACTATCTCCTTCAATCCTCTCTGTGATGTAGGTGCTGTTATTATCCTTGTTTTACAGATGAAGAAACTAGCACAGAGAGGCTAAGTAATGTGCCCAGGGTCACAGAGCAAATAATGGGAGAGCTGGGATTTGAACCCAGGCCGGCTTAGAGAGATTATCCTGTCTCTGCAAGATAAACACCCTTGGATGACTAGTGGGGTGAGAGACCCAACCTGACAGGTGACAGCACCTTCCTTCCCTGCCTGGCCTGGGTGCTCCCGGCCAGCACTTACTCTGCAGCCTGCCCCAGCCTGTGACATAGCAGGGGTAGTTGTTGGGTAAAATGGTGCCGGCAGGTGGGAGGCAGGCCAGTTGGATCTTGTCAGTCAGGGTGACGGGTGTGGCCAGTTTGAGCAGAGCAATGTCATTCCTGGTCAGGAAAGAGGCAGAGCTCAAGAGCATTAGCCAAGCAGGGCTTTGAAGAGTGCAGAGAGATTTCCCCGGGGAATGTTCCCTGGGCTGATCCCCAGGGAGTGTAGCTGGGCATCTTTGAAAATGTAAAAGACCTTGTGAGGAGGCTTCAGGGTCAGGAAGTACAGAGGGACTGTGTCCTGCTCCACTGAGATCACCATCCCTGTGTCCCTTGTCACGGACTAGACACACATGGTCAGTGATGGCCTGGGGCACACAGGGGCCTACAGGCTCAGGAGGCAGGAGACCCAGGTTGTTCCCCGAGTCTGCTCCCTGCCCCCCATCACCCCCCACCCAGGCAACTTGTGCACTGGCCGCACCTCTATGAGGTCAGAGCCCTTCCCCTCCTTACAGAAGGATCGAAGCCATGGGGGTGGGGGTTAGCCCATGGCCTTGGTGACACCCCGTCTGTGCTCCTGCCACCTCCACCCGGGGAGCCCTGAGACAGAGCATACCCTTGGGCCAGATTGTTGTTCCACTTCTCGTGTACGACAGCCTTGGAGACCTTGACGGCCAGTGAGCCCGCCTCCTCGGTGGAGAGGCTGTGCCGGCCCAGCACCACGCGGTAGGTCCTGGAGGAGCTGGGAGGGCCAAGCACAGAGGGTCAGTCCCTTGCCCTTAGGCGCCCCAGGCAAGGACACCCAGGACATGTGCCACTTGGAATGGGCCCAAGTAAGTGACGGCTGCATGAGCCACTAGTGGGGCTTGGGACCTTGTCTTTCCTGGGAGCTATCTTTGGTTACTAGGTAGCATAAATGCCATAACATAAAACCCATCACTGTGATAATTATAACAACCCCAAACTAACTATAAACTGACTTAATAAAAGTTGTAATAATAGAAATCTTATACTACTCTGGAGGGAATGAGAAAAATAAGAGTCCCTTTTTAGTTTGATTCTCCACCCTTATTTTCTCCTGGGGAAACTGAGGCCCAGGGAGGGGTAAAGAGGCCAGAGAGAATCTAGAAGTGGAGCGCAGGTTGCCTGGTTACCCGGCCTCTTTGTTTTTCCCACCTCCTCTTAAAGCCTATACATCCGTGGGGGTAGGTTCAATTTCAGGACCAACCCACGCCAACCCAAGTGGAATGCTGAAGAGTTCCAGCCAATGTGGGATAAGCCGCGGACATGGGGAGGAAGAGGGTGTCCTCTCATTTAATTCACACTACATTCTGTTATGACTGCCAGGCGCCTGTGATCCCAGCCACCCAGGAGGCTGAGGCAGGAGGATGGCATGTTTGAGACCGGCTGGGACAATTTAGTAAGACCTTGTCTCAAAAATTTAAAAATGGCTGGGGAATGTGTCTTAGTGGTAGTACTGAAAAAAAAAAAAAAAAAAAACCAACATTCTGTTATCTCATTTTTTTTCCCCAGGGGATATGTTAAAACTTAGAGAAGTTATTTACACTGTGAAGTGGACCCAGTTCCAGATGAAGAGGCCACATCTGATACTCCCAGGAGGACAGAAACTGGGCCAACCCGTCCTCCACACCGTTCCTCAGTCCAGCCAAGATTGTCAGTCGACCACAGACTGAATTACAGGTCATCTAAAACTTGTGTCTGGCCAGGCAAGTGGTTATTTGCAAGTCCCCTTTAGAGTGTGGTTCAGGCCTTTGGGTCCCCTCTCTTGGAGGTGAGCACTGGCTGGTGGGGCGAGCAGCCTGGGTGACCTGGGAAAGGCAGTTAGTTACCTGATGCAGTGGGCAGCTGTCAAGACCCAGTTCTTGGCCACCAGGGACCCTCCGCAGGTGTGTCTCCACTGGCCATAGGCACTGTACTGCAGGGAGACCTGTGGAGAGGCACCTGTGGGCTTAGTTCTTCCGCTGAGAGCAGGTGAGGTGGCACCTCTCGCCCCAGGTGCAAAACTTAAGGGGTGCCTGAACCTCAGTCATCAGGGTAAAAAACCCTTTAGTGCTTTGTAGAATATAAACAGTCCAAATCTACACAAAAAGCCCTGATTAAACAATATTGAAAAGTTAAATAGACTATTAAAAATTAACTTCTGAACATCTTTCTGGGATATGCCCCTTCTTCGGAACTATTTCCTTAGGACACGGCCCTCCAATTTAATGTGTCCAAACCCAAACTCTTAATTTCCCCCAAACCTGTTCCATCCTCAGGTTTCCCTGCACGGTCAATGCCACCTCTACTTTCCTGGCTGCTCAGGCTAAAATCCTTGGGGCCGCCCTGGGCCCCTTTCTCCCTTACCCCTCACTCAAACCCAAGAGCGAGCCAGCTGGGTGGCCCACACCTGCAATCCCAGAGACTCAGGAGGCTGAGGTGGGAGGATCACAAGTTTGAGGCCAGCCAGGGAAGCTGAGAGACACCCTGCCTCAAAAAATAAAAAGGGCTGGGGGTGTAGTTTGGTGGTCAGGTGCCCCTGGGTTCAATATCCCATACCAAGCAAACAACCCCAAAGAAAACCAAACCCCATCAGCGGTGACTTTATACACGGAGAGAATGCTTCCCTTGTATCTTGACTCTCTGTCCCAGACGCCTCATCCCTTGCCTGGATGATATCCTGGTTTTCTGTTTTTTTGGGGGGTGGTGGTGGTGCTGGGATGGAACCTGGGGCCTCACACATGCTAAGCACCCACTCTACCACTGAGCTGTACCCCTGCTCCTAGTCGCCCATCTTTCTTCCAGCTCCCACCTTGGCCCACCCCTCACCCCAAACACACAGCAGCCAAAATGATCCTTTCTACACATAAATCTGATTATATCTCTGTTCAGAACCTCCAATGGCTCCCCCTCTTGCCCAGTGGAAACTCAAAACTCAGGTGGTCTACTAGGTCCTACATCACCTCTCTGACCTCAGCCTCCCACTCCCCTCCCCTTGGCCATGCTAACCTCCATCAGTTCTGCAAATATACCAAGCCTACTTCTGCCCCAGGGCCTTTGCCCTGGCTTCTGTTTATAAAATATTTATAAAATATTCCTGTTTATAAAATATTTATAAAATATTCCTGTTTATAAAATATTTATAAAATATTCCTGCTGCTGGAATATTTTTCTCCCAGGTATCAACCTATCTCCTCCACTTCCTCTGGGTCTCTCTTCCAGGTTACCTTCTCCTCCTGAAGCCTGCGTGACTTTGGGCACATTTTGGGTCCTGATCGCTTTATACGGAAGATAGGGCCCATAATGTTCACCATGCAGGGCCCTCAGGATGATTAATAATCATAGTATCCAACACTATGAATTTCCAGTAATTTGACCGCTCACCTTGTGCCCAGCACCGCCCTAAGCTCAGAGTGTGTATTGGCTCATGTCTTAATTAAGGAAGCTGTGTACAATGTGGTCTGTGCCGTAAAGACTGTTAACTATTTCTAATATGATGTGTGCAAAAAGGTCAGTTTACTTGTTCCAGGTCATCCAACAGTACTTGGCGGAGCAGAGAGCTGAGCCTGGTCCCCACTCCTGAACATTTTTTTGAAATGGATGGATCCGGAGACTGTCATGCTAAGTGAAATAAGCCAGTCCCCCCAAATCAAAGGTTGAATGTTTCCTCTGATATGCAGAAGCTAATCCAAAATAAGGGAGGTGGGGGTAAAAAAAAAAAGAATAGAGGAAAGATCAAAGGAGTAGACAAAGGGGAATGAAGGGAAGGGAGGAGGAATGGGATAGGGAAAGACAGTGGAATGAACCTGACCTAATTTTTCTATGTACATATATGAACATACCACAGTGAATTCCACCATCAACTAAAAGTAAATAGCAGAAAGATCAGTAGAACAGAGGGAGGGGAGTCAAGAACTATGTAATGTTTTGAACAACTAATAATAAAAATTGAAAAAAAATAAGAGAGCTTAAAGTCCAGTGGATATGGTCAGGCAATTAATTAACATTGTGTAACTCACTACACATGTCTGGGTGGTGAGGGAAGGGGACCTTAGTATTAGATCATTTATGTTGTTGCTATATTAAGTGGAAGATCAAAATGTTATGGGCCAGGCTGTGCAATATTGCTTCAAAGTAAAAGATAAAAAGAATAAATCCCATTTTTTCCCCATTTAAAAAAAAAAGAAAAGAAAGAAAGAATAGAGGGAGGGGAAGGGGGAGGGGGAGGGGAAGGGGAAGTACTGGGGACTGAATTAGAGCAAATTATAGCCCATGCTTTTATAATTATGTCAGAGTGAACCTATTGCTATGCAGAACGCCAAGAACAAAGTAAAAAATTCTACTTTAGTTCTAAAGTGCTTAATGGTATTTCTGAGCATGTTATGGTTTGGATTTAGGGGTATTGACATAGGGCCATAGACTTGGGGAGGGTGGGAGAGTCCTCTCAGGCAGTAGACTGCCAGGCACATTAATTAATCCTGGCTTTGTTTAAAGTTCTGACATTTTGTTCATCCTGGATATTTTTGCATAGTTTGATTTTAAAAATATTGCATAAAAATATTACTCATTCTGGGTACTGAGCCTTGTGATATCCCCTTAAATTATTCTCCCAAATTGAGGGATTTACTTGCCTCAACTGAGACTCTACTTGGGTTAGATCTGGCCGCCCGTCCCAATTAAAAAAAAAAAAAACAAACACCTCCTCAGGGAAACAGAAGCAGGAGGGGCGGGAGCTCTCCAAGACTAACATTAATTGGTTCCCAAGGCAAGGATCGTACCAGGAAGTATTTTATGCAACATCAATTGGTTTCTCAGCACAAATACACTCTGGGTTTGGGGATCCCATAGGGGAGGGGCTCTTGCCCGTCTTCCAACTTCCCACAGAAAACAGTGTGAGACGGAAAAAGGTGAAAAACTAGCAAAAGTACCCAGAGCCATGAGTGCAAATTGGGGAATATCAGGCACCATTCTGTCATTGACACTTTTTCCTTTTTGCTGTGCTGGGGATGGAACCCAGGGCCTTCTGCATGACAGGCAAGAGCTCTGCCACTGAGCTATGCCCCACACCCCAGTTGTCACTTCCTTAACCTAGATGCCATTCCCTCGATGAAATACGCACCTGCTGCATGGGACCCCCTGGGCACTCATCTCTGACAGGTGTTCTGACCACCTGGGTTAGAAATGTGCCCTGATCCAGCTGGGTCTGTTTCCATCAGTTACACTTGCAATTAATGTGTTTTGATAAGACACAGAGCTGATGAAATACGAGTTCAAAAATAGAGCTGTGGGGGCTGGGGTTGAAGCTCAGGGGTAGAGCGCTTGCCTAGTGTGCATGAGACACTGGTCCCATCCTCAGCACCACATAAAAATAAATTAAATAAAGGTATTAATTTTTTTTTTTTTAAAAAATAGAGCTGTGATTTATAGAGAAACTAAATTAAATGCTTGGAAGACACTGGCTAATGGTGATTGTTAAAAAATGGCAATCCCCCCCCCCCAAAAAAATAAAAGGCTATTGAATTAGGTGTCTGTGAAAAAAGTGGAAAGAAGGGGGTAAGGGGTGGGGATGGGGCAGAGATGACAAAAGTCAGGACCAACTCATTACTCAGATTGCTTCAGGAGCAGCTTAAAGTTCTTCTCTACTTGGGATAGGGAGGAAGAGCATGAGAAGAAAACTACCACTAAATAGGGAAGAGAGGTGGGAGGGAAAAGGAGGGAGAAGGGGAGTTGCACGGAAGATGGAAGGAGAGCCTCATCGTTACACAGAATACAAGTATGATGTTATGAGGAGAAAAAGAAAAAAAAAGTGTGTCACATTAGATTGGATAGAGAGAAATGATGGGAGGGGAAGGGAGGGGAAGGGGGGATAGGAAGGGCAGCAGAATAGAATAGACAATATGATTGCTGTATGTATATAGGTGACTCTATGACCAGTGTGATTCTGCAATCTGTACAAGCCGAAAAATGAGAAATTATACCCCAATTGTTTCAAATGTATGAATTGCCAAGATCATTGTAATGTCACGTGTAGCTAAAAAAAAAAAAAAAAAAATTCTGCTCTACTTGAAAGAAATGGACGTAGATGCCATATTACAGGGGTTGGTTTTTATAAGAAAGTTAAGAATTCAAAAGATTGGTGAACAGATAAGTAAAATGTGTATTAAGCATTTCTAAATCAAAGTAAAATGTTTAAAGCATATATGTAAGATTGAAAATGATCTTTCTATACCAACTTTTCAATCACTCAGTCCCAATTATGTCAGACAGGAGAGTTTCCTACATTTGTTTAAGCAATTGTAAATTCACTCATCTTTGTGTGCCTTGTCACTAACAGTCTATAATGTGGGCCTGTGTCCCATACGGTGTTTCAGTCTTGATTTCTGTATGATTATGTCAAAGTAAGAAAGCATTTGTATTCATTGATAACACAGAATTGAAGATTAATTTGCATAAGCAGCACTGATTGGTTTCATAAAGCATGTACATTTGCATAGATGGTGATGAATGGCTCATAAAAATAACAGTACATGTATAAGCAAATGTCTGATTGGTTAACAGAGTGAGACTATTTAGGAACTTTTGCAGATGTAGTGGGGTGGCGCAGCTCCTTATGGAAGCTGGAAAAGGACCTCTTCCCCAGCCCCAAGGTTGGCCAAGGCCACAATTTTTTTTTTTTTTTTTTGGTGAAGTTGTCCAAGCTGCCTTCTGAGGTCCCACCAATCCTCATCTCTGCCAGCACAACAGACCCCGGGGTGGGAGGGCAAAGGGGGGGATGAGAAATGATGGGATGGGAGGGGGGTACAGACTGATTGACTCACCTGCCAGGGCCAGCTGTTGGGTGTCGCCTCTTCACCTCCAACCACCCTACTCAGTTGGGGCAGGTGAGTGGGGAGCCCACAGCTGAAAGCTGTGAAAGGAGAAACAGTACAGGAAGTACAGGAAGCAGCGACCCAATCAATGGAGACTATGCTTTCTGCACACCCAGCACCCAGATAGAAAAGCCTTGCTCTAGAAGGACCCCAGAGGTCACAGTCCAGCCTTGCTTTGCTTCTCTGAAACTCCACTCCAACCTTCCTATAACTACACAGGTGGAGTGCAGTGGGAGAGGGCCAGGCGGGGATGGAGGGCAGGGAGGTCCCCTTCCCAGTCCCACCAGGGGTTGGGAGAGTGGCGCCTCCGGGTGATGGGGTTACCTCCAGCCACCAACACAGACAGCAGTAGGGTCCTGATCATGGTGAGTCCGTGGGAGTTCTGGAAGCCCGGCCGTGGCTGAGCCCTTGTTTAATGAGCTGATTATCAGCAGGCGATATAGCAGGAGCTGCAAGATGGAGATTTTCCCAAAGCTCAATGGAATAAAAGGTTGGCGTCCAAATGTTTTTTTTCCGTCGTCTTCTACCACCGTCATCCTGAAAACACACTGATAAAGATGCCAAAGGTAGCTATTGAAATGTGAGTTCTATCTACTTTCAAGAGGTTATGTGTGTGTCAAGAGAAGAAAATTATGGGTTATTGGTTCTTGGGGTTGCATTTTTCAAAGAAAAGATGAAACTGGCAAAGAGCACCCGGGCCCGTGGTTCTCGGGTTTAGCTACTGGGAGACATTGGATGATGTCTGGAGCTGTTTTGGGTCATTGGGGCTGGGGTTGGGGTACTCTTGGAATCTGAAATGTGGAGAACAGAGAGGCTGATAAACACCCTACAATGCACAGGACATAAGAAGCTGTCCCCCTCCCAGCATCAGTGGTGTTGAGATGAAGAAACCCTACAATGCCATGGCTTGTGTGTGACCCAGGTTGAGTCATGTAAGTCTCTAGGACCAGGGTCACCTGTTTGTGAAACAGGGAGGGAAACATGTATCTAGCTTGTCTCAGAGCATTGGAGGATTTGCAAAGCATAGGGGAACATGCTTAGGAGAAGGGCAAGGTGGACCCCCACAGTTGGGGTTTAGCAGTCCCAATGATGGGACAGACGAGAGTGCTGGCAGAGGAGAGCGTCACTGGGGTGGATCAGATGTCTTTTATTGTCTGCTCCTAAGACAACAGTGGTTTGCATTTTTCCAAACTCTGTCTTCCAAATGGGAACAAAGCAAGAGCTTCTTAGGGGAGCAAATAAAGGCAGACCCGCTGACACTCACCAAGCACCTTAGATGCAGGCACATTTCTTATTTAAACCTTAGACAACCCTGCAAGAAAGTCCTTTATTTCAGATGAGGAAGCTGAAGCTCAGAGAGGTGAAGTAACTAGCTCAAGACCACACAGCTTCTAAGCAGCAGAATGAAGATTCAAACCCAGGATGGTCTGATTCCAAAGCCATGGTCTAATTACTTGAGCCACTGAAGATGACATTCTGCCTGACATCTCAGTGCTGTAAAAGCCCCCTGTTGGCAAGAGAAGGGTGGAGAAAAAGAGCAAGTTTTCCTGATGGGCTTTCCTGCTCTTCCTGGGGCCTTAACTGCTGCTGTGGGCAGAGCACAGTGCCAGGCAGTGCCGGTGCTGGTGAGGTGGCCCTGCTCTGATCACAGACTCTATTTCTTTCTCCAACCAGAAAAGCAGAGGGAAAAAAACTTCAGACATCAGCTGTAGACCTGGATCAAGTCTTTGCCTGCCAGTATTTTGTGGGATTGTGTTATGTGTTAGAATCTGGGGGTGCAAGAACTTGGTAACCTCCCAAGGATCACACAGGGTGAGGGGACCTGGGCTGCAGAGTCCCCCTTGGGTTGGATGTCAGAGGACCTGGCTTCTGGTCCCAGTCCTACTCCTGACTTCCTGTAACACCTTGGACCCTTAGACTATGGCAGCCAACTATTCCTGAGGCCTCATATTTTATCTTAAAGGTAAATGTGAATGTGGCATTCTGTATATGTTTGTTTTAATATAAAAACAGAGTTTTCCTGTGTGAGTCATTGGACAAACACCAGGTGACACGTGCCGGGGACTTGCTGTGTGACCTTGGGCAAATCACAGAGGCGCTCTGGCCCATTTTTACAAAACAAGCATTATGGTTTAGATGTGAGGTGGCCCTAGGAAGGAAAGTGACCATGATTACTTGGAGTGACCAAGAGATCTTTATTGAGAAAAGGAGAGGGAGAGGGAGAGGAAGATGGAGGGGGAGGGGGGGAGGGGGCTGGCAGGAGAAAGTTTTTATAGCCCTTTGGTGTGCTGCTTAAGTCTAATAGGGTCCCTGGGTCTGCAATTTGCCTTGTTGGTGTGCACTGATGGGGTCACACAGTGGTTGCTAAGGGTGTCATCTTCTGCTTTCAAGTGGACTGAGCATAGGCTAGGTGTGGGTTGCAAATTGAAAAGAGGAAGTAAAGGGAAAAGGTGCCAAATAACCCAGAGGGCTAAGGAAGGGTGGGGCTTGGGTACTCAGTTTACCCTGCAGCTAACAGCCCCCAAAAGCTCCTGTGTGAGACAATGCAAGAAAGCTCAGAGCTGAGGTGACTGGGTTCGGAGAGTCTTGACCTGATCCCTGATGGGGATTAACTGGGTATCTGTAGGCAGGAGGGTGTGGCTGGAGGAGATGGATCCTTGGGGTTGAACCTTTGGGATTAATGTTTTGTTGTGGTGAGAACTCTCTCTGTGGTTCCTGGTGGCCTGTCCTGACCTACTTTCTTCTACATACTTTCTCCCCGTGATGTTCTGTCTCATCTTGGGCCCATAGCAATGGGCTGGCAGTCTTTGGACTAGGACCTCTGAAACTGAGAGCCCCCAGATCAACTTTTCCTCCTTAAAATTGCTCTTGTCAGGGGCTGGGGATGTGGCTCAAGCGGTAGCACGCTCGCCTGCCATGCGTGCGGCCCAGGTTCGATCCTCAGCACCACATACAAACAAAGATGTTGTGTCTGCCGAAAACTGAAAAATAAATATTAAAAAAAAAAATTGCTCTTGTCAGGTCTTTTGGTCACAGCAGCCAAAAAGCTGACTGAAACAGAAATTGGTAGCTTGAAGCGGGGTTGCTGTTGTGACTAGCCTGGCCATGCGGTTTAGAAGCTTTAGGAGGTTTTTGGAGTTTGTGGGAGGAGTTTTGAAAACTTTAGAGATGCAAGCTGGAAAGGTTTTGGATTGTTGTAAGCAGAGTTTAAGAGGCGATTCTGGTGGGAGCCAGAGGACCAGAATGCCAAGAGGACTGTGGACAGTCGAGACTGGGGTCATGAGGCTTCAGAGGAGGAGGACTATTTTGGAAATTGGAGGAGAGGCTATTCATGTCAGGTATTGGTTAAGAAGTCGTCAACTTTTGCCCATGACCTGAGACTTTCTGTGAGACTGTGTTTAAAGGTGATGGACTAACTAATCCGGCAGAGGAGATTTCCAGGCAGCAGAGCATTCAGGCCGTGGCATGGATATGGCCAGCAGCTTTTGGCCAAGTGTACTGTGATAATCAGGAGCAGAAAGCAAAGCATAAAGGTCTGAAAAGTTTGCAATTTGGCCGGAAAACTGCAAGTAAAACTGTGGCTCAGGAAGTTGGATTTGTCAGACATTATAGCTACTAAAGAAATGCTAAGTTCTTTAACCTGAGACAATAGGTAAAATGGCTTGAGGACATCTCAGGAACCGGCAAGACCACTCCCATCTCAGGCTCAAGGGAATAAAAGTAAAAATTCCTCAAAGAGACCAGTGGGGACCCTGCTTGCACAGGGGGGCCTAGGAAGTTGCTTCACCAGGCCCAGCCACCAGGCACTCAGAGGCTGCTGCAGCCCTGGTCCCTGGAGGCTTGGCTATTGCTCAAGATGGAGGGAAACCTTGGCAGCAACCATGGGGTGCTGGTTCTGTAGGAAAGCGGGATGTTGGGGTCAGGGGGTCATTGGAGGCTTAGGCCAGGTGCAGCAGGGGTGGATTCCCTGCAGGCTGCTCCTGAGAGGGTGACGGGTGGCGATGTGAGGAGGAAGCCAAAGCTGCGGTGGAGACCCCTCCTCCCCAGATTAAGGAACGCCAGTCCTGAGGGACGTCAGCGGAGGAAAGCTCCAGGAATCAAGCGAAGACAAGCCAAGAGAGAGGCCATGTGATGCCAGATTCGTGGGACCCCAATAGACCTCCAGGAGCCGAATCCAATGCAATTACACCCTTTATTGCAAGCTCGAGCCTGGACTCACCACCGTTCCCGAGGCAGCGGTCTCAGGGACTGAGTCCTGGTCCTTTGTTCAGTGAGATTTTATAGGTTCTTGGGGATACTCTATGTGTCACAACGTCACACAGCAAATCATTTCACACCGCGGGAAAATCAAACAGCAACTCTTAATGTTGATTAGCACATTCACTGGCCGGAACAAGTTGGGTGGGGGTGATTGGTTAGTACAAGAGGGGGATTCCTTTGAACTGATTGGTTTAGGCCTCGAGGGGTTACAAGAGTGTATATGCTAAACTGCTGGGTGGCCTAATCACATTATCAATCACCGAAACTACTGGGAGGGTCACCTGGCATTTCAGATATGTTCCCTGTCTCACTCTGATTGGTTGTTGCTATGGTCCGAAATTAGGCCTCAAGCATTCTTTTGGTCTTTTCAGGAACTTGCATTTGCTGAGTCAAGGACTTACGACAAATGACTCAGCAGGGTAGCTACATGCCTAGGAACCTGGGTCATCCCTGCACCCCCACCTTTGGACAGGCCCTGCTCTGAAGTAGAGGCTGTTTTTTTCAAAAATGGAGTCACATCAGTTTCTCAGCCTGGTGGGCTGCAACCAGCAAAGCCACAGGGGGGAGCTACACAAGCCCTTTGGAGAGAATGTCGTCATGCCATGTGCCCCAGATGCCTTTGGTCTTGTTTTGATCCCATCCCTTCTTTCTGTGTCCCTATTTGTCCCTCATGGAATGGAAGTTTGCCCTTTTGACTTTTGGGAAATCTTGAAGATGGACTGACTATATTTTGCACTGTGAGACAGGCATGAGCTTTTGGGGGCCAGGGGCAGAATTATATGGTTTAGATGTGAGGCGTCCCCAAAAAATTCATGTGTGAGACTGCTGAGAGCCATAGCCGAGTCCGAATGACGCATGGCATTTTTGCCAGAACGGAGTGGTTGAGAGGTGACGCCATCAAGCCATTGAGATGATAATGGTTATGTTAAGCTGTGTATATTAGACCCCTGCTGTCCGATTTGGCCTGCTACTTTGGAGTTCTCGCTACTTTGGAGTTCTCACGGGATTCCCGGAGAGTTCTTATTGGCTGGGGAAGTGCCGGAGGCGGGATTTCCGGTTGGTGGTTCCTGGAGGAGCCACATGGCGTTTGGGAGAGTTCCTGGG